ATAATTACAGTACGTTTTCCCTGATAATGATACCTGAGAATGCCATACCAGTAATGACTGTTTAATGTATAATGGATATTTACCGGTAATAGGTTGCGGATTGCGATTGGTCAAAATCAACTCCGAGTCAATTTCATAATATTCTTGTCCACAGATGGGCTTTTCATTTTCATACACGGTAACAATCGGGAAAAAAATATGAATTAACTTACCTTGTGGGTAAATTTGTTGCAATTATTTGTCCTTAAATCGTGAATGTTAGCACATTATCCCTGTGGTCTGACATTAACCTTTACACCTTATACTATTTACAATGTAGGTCCTTTTTGGAGTTACATATACCAGATGCCTTTTATTTACATACAAATATAATACAGTTTAATGACAATAAATTGTTTTTATCATCATTACACATTTTTAATTTATCGAAAATTAGAAAATTTATGTTGCATAATTTTTGAAGTGGTCTAAAACATTTAGTTTTAGTTTGATTGACAATTTGAAGTTTTTCTTTAAATCTTGGAATCACATTATCCAGGTGCCAGATGTCAGATTGTCTTATTGAAAGCAAAGATTTTTTATATTGAATTGCTGTCAATTCAGTTTCTGTTCCAGTTTTCATGTTACTGTTTTTTGGCCTTTATAGCTAAACATTAATCCAATATGCCCCTCCTAAATCTGTGAAGTAGTGAGCCAGGTAAGAAATCAATTTCCCTGTGGAACGTGTGTGTGTATGTCTTGTCACCTGTCTATATAGACTACCCTTGTCAGTCACCAACAAGTACCTTCTTTAAAAAAGGGGCCATCTCAGAAAAATTTGTCGAAGGGATTCTCCACTGGGCCAGTACAGCTGTCTATAATATGAAATCTTGGACCTACATGGAGGACAAGTTTCTGGATCATTACCACATGGATAAGTCTTAGGACACACATGGGGACAGGTTTAAGGACTGTATTGGTGAGGGGTGGGAAGAAGTAGGGACAAGCTTTAGGACCATGTATTGTTGGGGACCAGGTTTCGGAAGTATTTTTGGGACAAGCTTTGGTACTTTTGGGCATGTTGGGATATTATTCTGAGACCTAAAGAGACACCTTATGGGACTACCTCTCGGCACAAACTTAAGGACTACCTCTAGGCACAAACTTGAGGACTACCTCTCGGCACAAACTTGAGGACTACCTCTCGGCACAAACTTGAGGACTACCTCTCGGCACAAACTTGAGGACTACCTCTCGGCACAAACTTGAGTACTACCTCTCGGCACAAACTTAAGGACTACCTCTAGGCACAAACTTGAGGACTACCTCTAGGCACAAACTTGAGGACTACCTCTAGGCACAAACTTGAGTACTACCTCGAGGCACACACTTACGGACTACCTCTAGGCACAAACTTGAGGACTACCTCTAGGCACAAACTTGAGGACTACCTCTAGGCACAAACTTGAGTACTACCTCGAGGCACACACTTACGGACTACCTCTAGGCACAAACTTAAGGACTACCTCTCGGCACAAACTTAAGGACTACCTCTAGGCACAAACTTGAGGACTACCTCTAGGCACAAACTTGAGGACTACCTCTAGGCACAAACTTGAGTACTACCTCGAGGCACACACTTACGGACTACCTCTAGGCACAAACTTGAGGACTACCTCTAGGCACAAACTTGAGGACTACCTCTAGGCACAAACTTGAGGACTACCTCTAGGCACAAACTTGAGTACTACCTCTTGGCACAAACTTAAGGACTACCTCTAGGCACAAACTTGAGTACTACCTCTAGGCACAAACTTGAGGACTACCTCTAGGCACAAACTTGAGGACTACCTCTAGGCACAAACTTGAGTACTACCTCGAGGCACAAACTTAAGGACTACCTCTAGGCACAAACTTGAGGACTACCTCTAGGCACAAACTTGAGGACTACCTCTAGGCACAAACTTGAGGACTACCTCTAGGCACAAACTTGAGGACTACCTCTAGGCACAAACTTGAGGACTACCTCTAGGCACAAACTTGAGGACTACCTCTAGGCACTCTAGGCACAAACTTAAGGACTACCTCTCGGCACAAACAAGGACTACCTCTAGGCACAAACTTGAGGACTACCTCTAGGCACAAACTTGAGGACTACCTCTAGGCACAAACTTGAGTACTACCTCGAGGCACACACTTACGGACTACCTCTAGGCACAAACTTGAGGACTACCTCTAGGCACAAACTTGAGGACTACCTCTAGGCACAAACTTGAGGACTACCTCTAGGCACAAACTTGAGGACTACCTCTAGGCACAAACTTAAGGACTACCTCTAGGCACAAACTTGAGGACTACCTCTAGGCACAAACTTGAGGACTACCTCTAGGCACAAACTTGAGGACTACCTCTAGGCACAAACTTGAGGACTACCTTTAGGAACACTCTTTGGTACCAGAGACTTCACCAAGAACCTTCTCGTGGCCACATTAGTTAATGGTAGACTGTCATATATCCAAAATTAGCATTTGTGGTGCCAGTTTCATCCTGTGATCCCATGGCTGTGCAGACTTAAAACACATAAACATGCACGTAATCACAGTTATTTGGAGTAGGCATACTACAGATAGTCATTATATGACACTTTCTTCCCTGATGTAGAGATAACCAGACTTACGGTCCATGTATTAGTTACTTCTACATACCAGAGACAGGTCTAATCTAAATAACTGAAAACAGATAGAAAAGACTCCAAAGTCTTTTGATTCTCGTGATAATAGCTTTTTTACATGACTAACTGGAATGTTAGTAAAATACACAATTTCATTTCAGAACACAAATGAATTTAGGCACAGGTTTTATATTATATGTCAGCGTAGAATTTGAAAAGGTTATTTCCTGAGCTACTCATTGTAACGTCTGAGGTTTTTTTATGTGCAATAAAAACCTGGACTGCTATGATTTCTTAAGTAAAATTTGGGCCCTGAAAATACTTTGCAATATCATTAAATAGCATTAGAATGTTTAAATGGTTTGATAAGGAGAAAATGGAACATACTGGAAATGTGTAACTAAGCAGTATAAATGAGGGACATTATCATAGTTCTATTGTTGTACTTGACTTTTATAGCAATCAGCTCGCTTAGCTTTTAAAGGATGTGGTTAATGGATGTGTAGGTATTTGATCAGGGAATACTTTATGACTAATGTTTATTTTGTTGGGGGTATGGATAGGTCACTATAGAGGTTACTGTCTATCTTCTAATTTTTGTGTGCTTGTTTGTTAATGGCTGTGAATAAATTGTCACTAGTTACTTCATTTAATAAGGTTTTTTAATAAAACTTTTTAATGTGAAAATACAGGTACCTTGAGCAGATTTTATATCGGCTAGGATTTCTGCTGGCTAATGTCAGGTCTACACAATGTCAGGTCTACACAATATTTAATGTCAGGTCTATACAATATTTAATGTCAGGTCTACACAATATTTAATGTCAGGTCTACACAATATTTAATGTCAGGTCTATACAATATATAATGTCAGGTTTACACAGTATCTAATGTCGGGTCTATACAATATTTAATGTCAGGTCTATACAATATTTAATGTCAGGTCTACACAATATTTAATGTCAGGTCTACACAATATTTAATGTCAGGTCTATACAATATTTAATGTCAGGTCTATACAATATTTAATGTCAGGTCTATACAATATTTAATGTCAGGTCTACACAATATTTAATGTCAGGTCTATACAATATTTAATGTCAGGTCTATACAATATTTAATGTCAGGTCTATACAATATTTAATGTCAGGTCTACACAATATTTAATGTCAGGTCTACACAATATTTGATGTCAGGTCTACACAATATTAATGTCAGGTCTGTACATTATTTAATGTCAGGTCTATACAATATTTAATGTCAGGTCTATACAATATTTAATGTCAGGTCTATACAATATTTAATGTCAGGTCTATACAATATTTAATGTCAGGTCTATACAATATTTAATGTTGGGTCTACACAATATTTAGTTTCAAAGTTATCAACCAATTAATAAGATCACATCATTTTTATCAAACTATATGCTTAATGATTTATATATAGCATCATTACAATATTACTTATCTGACCTTAATTTGTATTTCTGAACACCAAGGTAACCTTACTTGAAAGGGATATTGACCAAATTTCAATATAAGTATACCTGAAAAGAGATTGAAATTCAAGATTCTGAGGTCAAAGCCATCTTTTCTGTTTGTTAAAGAGCTGTATCTGGTACTTATTTTCATGAGAATCAATTAATTAAGTAGCATTTATTATCATTGATCTTTGTGACCTAGATTCCTGGACTTTTCCGCTGAGAACTTAAACTATATTTTGTAGTAATGAGGCAGGTAAAATCCTGGAAATCGACTTCTGGACTCACTAGAAAAATCCTGTTAAAATCACTGAATACTGTAAATTTTCGTGTATAGTGCGCACTTTTTCAAGCTAAAACTATTGTGTCAAAAAGGGGGGTGCGCATTATAAGCAGGAACATGCCATTCTTTGGGTTATCATTCCTGAGTTCTGCATCCGCCATGTTGGATTACCTCCCTTCACATAGTTATATGTAAAAGTCGTTGGTCATATATGATAGTTTGGAGATAAAAACAACAAATAAATAAATAAAATTTGAATGTTTTAATCATCGGCCATACACGCTGGCATTGCGGTGAATCTATTTCTTTTTTATATATATGTAAGAGGTATTTTCTAGTGATTTTGTCTGCTACTATTGCATGAAAAATGAAGCTGATCAAAAAATTCTTTATTTCTCAGAATTAATATAAATAAGAAATAAATATACATTCTGAAAAACCTATAGTTCACCTTTACTTCCATATAAGATTTTATCAGGTTATACACAAGTATCAGTCTTAGTTTACCTTGAATCATTTGACCATACTAAGTGTGGTTGATTTTCCTCTATGAAACAAAATTTTAACGCACTGATTTTTTTCTACAGCTGTCTCTGGCGGCGCAGATGGGCGCTATTGGTGTTTTACTTTACCTTGATCCAGCAGACCTTAGAGGGATTCCAGCTAGAGTGATTTCCCCTGATGAAGATTTACAGACATTTGTACCGTATGCATCTGCTGGTGGAAAGATTTACACAGGTGACTTACAACATTAATCTTTAACAGTCAGTTATTAATGTTGGTTTGTGGATCCAGTAGAAAGGGTATGATCATCAGTTAAATGGTGATGAAGCCAGCTTGTAGAAAACTTGTAGCTTGTCAAACCTTAAACAGTCTACATGGCACCTTCAAAGCTATGGAAGTGTAATATTGATAAATCAGTGCAACTTGCAATACATGGTGTTTCATTCATAGTGTTTCATTCTTATATAAGATACTGATCTATGTTCTGGTTTGAGTAAACTGTAATTTGAATGAGTCGGATACCATTTCTGGTCAAACATATTGAGGCATTTACAGGACAGAAAGGTAAGCAAACACATCTGCATAGAGCAAAAAATACAGCCAAGGAATGTGTTTAAAAAATGAGCTGGGCTGTTACCAGTGTCAGTGGATTTCAAACATTCTAGAAATTTTTATGCAGAGATATTGGCGCCAGTTAATTAAGCCTGTTAGCATTTTGTGGGAAAACCTTTAATTTGTGAGCTGCAGACTATCATTTCAGCTAAAAAAAAAAAAGTCTCCATTTTCCATAAATTTTCTTCAGGAATGTCATAGTATGTGCATTTATCAATATGTGAATATGTTTTTACAGGCAATCCAAACAGAGTTTCTATTGTACCAGCTCAGACTATCTCTATGGAAACAGCGACATTCCTTATGAACTCTCTGAATGGTCCATCTGCTCCAGTATCCTGGACTGGCAGATTGAATGCTTCTTACCATCTCCAAGGTAATTAGTAAAGATGACCATCATCCTGACGGACAGATGTGGAAAGAATAATAATATAACAATTGATTGTCTCAGAGGCAAATTATTAAACAGACTGTTGGGGTTGATAAAGTTTTTTTTTAAAGGATGAAATAAAAGCCAAAAAAAATCTTGAAAATGGAAAAAGTATACAGAGGTATTTTCATAATAATGAGATTTATCGGTAAAAACTAGGAAAATTTGATGCAGCAAAGAAAATTTTTACATGATGAATAATCATGTTTCACTACAGTTGATTGAAGGTCCCTGCATCAAGGTGTCATATATAGAAACAGGCTGTCCATCAATTCAACATATGACATGATGCTTCGGTGTCATATTTAGAAGTTGTAGCGATGGCCTGTCTGATAGAGTCGGTTCTAAATGTTACCTGTAATTGTTATGATGAACAGCTTGATACTCTCAGCTTGATCATCGGGAAATAAAATGGTTGCTGGATAATTTGGCTATTAACTAGCTTGTACAACAAGAAAATAACTTTACTTGGAGATTTGGTTGTGGTTTAGCAAGCAGTTGATAATACTTCTTGGCTAGGCAATTAGGTGTGGTAGATTGTTTGTTTGAGACCAGGACAGGGTAATACTTGTCAAATTTGTCTTCCTTTGTTATTTCTGTTTCTTTTTAAATCATTTATATATAAATTCAGATAAATTTTTGTTGTATTAACGTGCAGATCATCTTGAAAATTTGAATCAGAATTTTGTCTATACATCAGGGGAGATAAATCAAATATAATTATTGTTTCAGGCCAGCACACAGTGAAACTTGTCATCAACAATGTGAAGAAAGTGGAGACAGTGAGAAATGTCGAAGGTGTTATCGAAGGAGACATAGAAGGAGGTAGGCAGAGCCTACTAGGTGTTGTAATGAGATCAGAAATTGATTAAATTATATTTTATGATTTTCATCATTTGATGAATTCTTACATTATTTTATATGTTAATATGTTGATAGACTTCCATATTTAAAACTAAAACTGGACCAAATTTTTTTAATTTTTGAAAAACTTATTCAGTATATTGTTCTGTTCTGTAAGATCGTTATGTGATGGTGGGAGCAGCAAGGATGGTGGGGTCACTGACAGGATCTGATGTCTCCATGGGAACCGTCAACTTGTTGGAACTGGCTCACAGCATTGCATCTATAAGACGTCTCGAAAAGTGGCTACCTCGTCGAGGGATCAAGTTTTATTCCTGGGGTGGAACACAGTTTTCTCACAGTGGAATTGAAGCATTTCTTAAAGTATTCAATTGTTTTCTTTGTTGTTTTGCTGCGTTATACAATTCTATCAAAATTCTATCAATTGAAGACTTTGTGTTTTTTATTATGTTTCAACTTTACACAAATTCAACAGATAAACCAAGTAAAACCGATTGTTGTGCAAGTCGTGAAAAGTTTTAATGACTTCCTTTGTCAAATTTAATTTCAAGGATTCCAGGATGCTTTCGTTAAAAGTGCAAAAAAAGAAACCCCACCCCGCAAATAAAAAAGATAAAATAAAAAGTCTTCCAAAATAATGATTTAAAAAGTATTTAAGTCAATTAGGTATCATAAAAATATTTGACTTGTGGATGAATCTGAATGTTGAAATACTTTGGATTCCTTCCGACAATCACCGAACAAATTTCATTTGTTTGAAACAGTGTTTCTTTTCAAGGTTACTGTTAATGTTACCATCAGCATTGTGTTGTATTGATACATCTGTGATGCTCACATTACCTTTATTTTTGACAGGTGAATGGCCTCATTGTACAAACCAAATCTGTATCCTACATTGACCTTGACCTCTACATGCGACAACAAGATAGTCTGCACATGCCCAGCATGGATGTGACAACAAGCCACCTGCTGTCTAATTTGGTTAAAGAAGTCTCCACCATTGTAAGATCCATCAATGCAAAATTCTTATTACACCATGAAGGCTTCTTTTTAGAGTTTCTGGCTGTAATACATTTCATAATTCAAATATTTCTCGATGCGGTAGGTGTCCAGATTATTTAGGGAAATTAGATTTTTACTAAATTAACTTCAAATTAGGTTTTCATTGGTTGTATGAATTATAAAACCAAACCTGTTTCGTTCTTTTTATGTGTTTTTTCTCAAACGATTCATAATAATGATATCACTTGTATCAAGCAGCCATGTTTTACATGTATTCCTTCAATGGTGCATATCAGTACTGAACCTCCAACCCTTTATACTACAGGTGCCTGATGCTGCAATGACGGAGCTGTCAATCAAAGACAGCCTCTCCCTGACTATAAACCAGTACAGGAAGTCAGTCAGTACCATTGACTACCTCCGTGGGAACCCTGATTCTATGTTCTTATTCCAGGAGCTTGGTATCCCAGTCTTTAAGGCTGGTTTTGATCTGCCTGTAAGTAAATGGAGAATTGTATTACAATCACCTATAGAGAAATATTTATGGTAAACCTACTGTCATATTGTCCTGCTAGTTCAAACTATACGAAAATACAGTCTAGAAAAATGAATGAGAGTTTGAATGAATAGAATCAATATCTTATATCTGTGTCATCTTGGTGGCAAAGTCAACTTTTGTATAAATACTATATCTCAGCGATCTCAGATTAGGTAAGACTTTTGCATTAATCCTATATGGTGGTCATCTAGGTGACAAAGTCAAGTTTCTTGTGATTGCAAAGTCTTCCAAAATTTACACCTGCGTTGATTTTAAAATTCTTTTCATTTCTGGGATTGGATCTTTGGGTCCATTGTTAGGAAGGTTTACTGTATTTCCGACCTGATGAAAACTATGATATACTGTAATTATAATCAAACATTATCTGAAAATGAATAAAGATTAAAACTATATTCTTATCACATGTTTTTAAATATTACATTTAATATAACTCTTTTTTACAGGGTGCGATGATAAATAACGGTTCCCTCCATGACCCCGAGCATCATTACCGATATCACTTGGCAGCAACCAGAGTTATTGCCCTTGTTATATTGAATCTAGTAGATGATAACATCCTGCCTCTAGATGTTGCTGGCCTTGCATCCTCCATTGATGAGGCCCTGATACAGACGGCAGACATACAGGATATTAATGAACTTCTAGGTAAGGATGACTGATGTTGTGAAAAACATAGTCACTAAGAAAAATATGAATGAAGTGGAAGAGAGATGCAATAATATGATCACACTTGGAAAATCTTTATACAGTCAAATCTGTCTATAGAGACCACTCAATGGAGCAGAGAAAAGTGCCCTTTATATACAGGTTGTTGAATTACATTTGATATAGAACCAGAAAAAGTTGTCTTTATATTATAGACGGGCGACCCTTGTATAGAGTTGACCTTTAAGACAGGTTTGACTGTATACTTTAATCTGTACCCTAAAGTCGTTTTTAAAGGTACCGGGTAGTTCAGGGCTCTCACACCCCATTTTGGGACTGGGGCCCGGGGCCCTTTGAATTGGGAAAAAATAATGGTGTTTTCCTTAGAATTAGGAAGACTTGGGGTCTAAATTGGGAAAAAAAGATACTGTTTTGCATTGCAAATCTGGCAGATCGAGAGTCCTGTTGTTAATTTCCAAGTATAAATAATTGACAAACACTTCAGTATTTTATGTTTTTTGCAGATAGTACAGGAGTTTTGCTCCTGGGACCTGAATCAAAAGTTGCTGTTTTTTTTTATATTATTATCACAATTGCATTTTAAGATAAGATGTGTACATGTAGTTAAATCAAGTCATTCACAAGAAATCAATTTTTGATTCAGTGCTGACAAATAACAAAGTGGAGGGAATGACATTCCAAAATGCACTTAACCCTTAAATTGAAAAATAGTTTAAATTTGAAACCTTCATTTCCTGATTTTCCTTACAGATAAGCTGTTAACCACATCAGACATTTTCCTTACCACTGGGAAGGCCTTTGAGGTTTATATAGAATCTCTAGGCTCCAGTAAAGTTCCTCTAGAGGCACGTAGGGTCAATGATGCCCTCATGATGCTGGAGAAAGTTTTCGTCTCTCCTCAAAAAAACAGGTAAATACAACTACAAATGATACCAAATGTTATACCTTGAACAGTAAATGCAGTTCTCTGTTGTAAAATCATTAATTCTCCTCTGCGATTTATTTTCTTTGATGTCTTGGGTCTGCTGATCCTGGTAGAATTAGTTTATATAGATTTATTGAGCTGTTTTTAGACACAAAATCAAGTGTCATTGAAGTAATGATTTTTTTTTAATCATGAAAATGGAGCCCCATGAGATATGATTTTACACATCTTAACTTGAATTTTTTAAACTAAAATTTGCAAATATGCAATATTGTTCCAAAATTCATATATAGCCTTTGATTGGGGATTCAGCTTAACCAGGTGTTCCCAAAGTCATGTTGTCTATTTACAATTATGTTTTGTGGTCTATACCAGTAAATAAGACTTATGTGAACTTTTCAATGTATTAACATTTGCTATATAAATTTGCTTTAAAATATCACTGTAAATATCCACCATACTGAATGAATTGTAGAAGTTTCTATTGTTAATTTATTTTGCAGAAACAGTGCAAGTGTTCTTTATGAAACTGACGACACTGGTCAACTATCAGTGGTCAAGGAGATGACTGTACTGTCCAAGGTTACAAATGACTGGTCAAGCATTGACTGTTTACTGGACTCCTTCTCTAATGCATTAAAACAAAGTATAAGTATTCTACAGTTGAGCTAGTGTTTATGATGACCAATTTTAGCAGCTCTCCTACCTACAGCCAAGCTATCGGACCAGTGAACATGTGATTAGCTGACCAGTGGAAATTACCTATTGCTGGTCAGTGAAGAGTTTTCCTGTATACAGCTGAGCATTTAGACCAGTGAAAATTAGGTTAACTGACCACTGACCAATAGCTGTTGTGGCTGGATTGTACCCAAGTGGTCAGAAAATATTCCTCGACTTTAATAAGATATGCTGTTAAAAACAGTGTCAGTCAATGAATATCATACATGTGGTAATAAGCCAAAAATGCTAATTCATATTAAAGTGACTTTTTGACCATCAGTCAAATAGAAAATTAACATGGACAATGCTGACCACATGCTTCCTCAGTGTCAGAAAAGCACAGCTGATAATGGATTGGTCAGTACTAATGGTTTACTGATACAGAGACCCATATATCATCCAAATGTACACAGGACATTTCTGTGAAGTCAGTAACGAGTGTATCATTGGTAAAAACATCACCTTAATTATTTTCCTGTTGATCTCAGTGGCCAAGTTTGTAATGTTAAGTCCATGGCTGTACAGGTCATTGATTCTCATCACAAGTCCATCCTTCCAGGTATTTAGCTTGTCAACAATTTGACAAGGTTTATTTATTTTATTGGCCTTTTGAAACACTAATTCACTAGGTCAAAAGGATATTTGTTGAAAAATATCTTCAAAATTGAGTTTGTTAATTGTACATGTATATTAAATGTGTATGGAAGCTACAAAGCTTAAAACACTATGTTGCTTAATGGTTTTACATTGAATTTAAATAGAAGATAAGCTGGACTATTTTGACTAGCATGTTTTGGTATTATCAAATGTGTTTGGAAGATAAACTATTAAATATAGGCCAATTACTGCAACATTAACAATAGATTATCATTTTAAATGTGTATGGCTACCGAGAGCACTGACCTGTAATTATGATGGAAGTTTCAATGTTTTGAATATCAGATAAATGATGAATCTGTGACTGTGTTTGTGTAAGGAATATTGAGCAATAAATACTTTATAAAGTACCGTATTTGATTTGATAAGCACATCTACTTGTATAAATTTATTTGACTTGATAAGCACACCTGCCACTATGAATGAATTCCTTTATTTTAGAATACAGTATAGATAAAATAAACTAAATCCTGTCTACCAATACAACATTCAACCGTTTATCTTTGTTACAATTTTTTTTCTCTTCTATTTTTTAGGTGTTGTTTCTCGACATATTTGATAGCGAAACTTTTCCCTGTTACTATATAAGTACATCAGTTAAGTATTTCTGTACGAGTACAGTGCACTTTTTAGGTCATTTACGGTACATTTGATACTTTCTAGAGGGAAGTGCAATACTGCGTATTAGTTTTGTAGAATAAGTTTGGTGAGACCAAGTTTGTGTAATTTCCTTTTGTAGAATTTTTTTTCTTTTTTTTCCCCGTTTTGACTAATACAATATTATAAAGTGTCTTTTCTACAATTTCAGTAACCTTTACTTTTCATCATCTTATTATAGCACAAGTAATATCACAATTTTCTCTTGCAGTTACTTCATTAGCTCATTTTGATGACATTTAAACATGTACCTGTATATATATTGAAATGCCTCTCGATAATTGTCAGATCTAGAAAGAAAATATTGTTATATTTTGTATGTTTGAGTAGAGTAACAGATCTGCTTGTAACAAGGAAGTCTTAAGGCTTCTAAAATGTCCAGATGCAAATATGCTCAACAAGAATGTTTCTGTAAACAAACAGCATCATGAAATTACTTGTCCGTAATCAAAAAAGCTGTTCCCTTGTTAAACATCGTCCATATATTCTGTAAGCGATACTTTTCATTTTTTTTTGTGCTTTACACACACATTTTATCATGGAATTGTTCAAATTTGATTCATACTTAGTCAAGTAACATATTTGCTTTCAAAATCTAGTCAAGTTCATAAGCTTATTAACATGAATATATGTTTTTCATAAATATTTCATTGATATGATGAATGCACACATTTGTAAATAGCTTTAAGTATTTTCTTATGTATTCAACTTTAGATCTGTTATTATAAATTTCAGTTAAATCTTTATGAAATGTATTCCATTAGGTTATTATAACATTAATTTTGTCTCCTAATCCTTGATTCATCACAACATAACTTTCCATCTCTTCTTGTTTATTCAGTCTTGCATTTTTTATATTTTTTTTGTCATTAAATAGAAAGTTGTAACATTACCTTGGTCAGTAAGTTATGTATAGCTCTGGCCACCATCTATGATGTATACTTCTTTATTTAAGCTTGATTGAACAGTGAATCAAAAAGTCTTAAACTCAGATGACAAACTTTAATCAGTTTTTCTTTTTTTCTTAACATATTCCTTAGCATTTTCCTATTTAAGTTTTGTAATAGTGTTTTAAGGCAGGATAAATTTATATATTATAGAAATACATGAAAAATATTTCGGAGATCATAGGGATGTCTGAGCAAGTTTTTTTTTCTTTTTGTGAGAGAGTGGAGTGTATGATCGATTAAAGATATTAAAATTACATCATTATCATTTGATGAGAGTGATATGCAGATCTGAACAATATAAACAAGTTTTATGAGAGTGGAATAGTTTGTGTCGTCATCTTTTTATTTTCTGAATTCTTAAAATTCAGATTTTGTATTGATTTTTGACTTAAGTGTTGTTATAAACACTCTAAACATGTTTCACTAATATTTCTATCATTATCATCATAAACACATTACTTATTTCATAAATGGCAAATATTGACTGAACTTGTTTTGCATTTATTTTACTTCTCTTCCATAACATGATAAATATGATCCTGGATTTGATTTGATTGTTTTTCTTGTTTTTTGTTCATATTTATTCAATTTCGATTCATGATTAGTTTTGTAAATAGATAATTATTTTGAACTCTTTATGGTCTGCAGACCTAATTTTTCAATCTCATTTTGTAAAACAAGTACACTGCCATGTCACAGAAACTTCAGATCTTCCTTCTTAAACAACAAATTATCATTTCACAATCATCTTTATGATCATTTAAACTCTTTTCATCAACTGAAAAGCTGTGTTATTTAGAAAACAGAATGTCAATAAAGCCTTGGTTTTTCTATCTTTTGTGTTTCCATGGCAATTACAACTGTAATTCAGAATTCTGAATCTCCCGAAACAGTGATAAGGAAACAAGCCAGATAACATTATGGCTGAGTTAAGTAGGCATGACTGTAGAGGCAGTGTAAATACTACCTTTAATCATAGAAAATGTCAAATTTCTGATAATGGCTGATTGTCGAGACAGGGTTCCTCTGATCCAGTGATCCTCCGTATAGCAGTTACTTAATCACTGACAGCACCTGTAAAAGGCATTTTCCTTTACGTGATTGAGTATTGATATTAATCTGTCATGTAAAGACAAGATCTGTTGGTGAATTATAACAATTTTGAGATTATCATCACCGAACATACTAATCATTTAAAAAATAGAAACATAGTTTTCAGAACTGTCATTAGTTGTTTTTTTTGTCTTTTTGATATTTGTAATTTGCTCACAAAATTAAGAGAAAAATAAATAAATAAATGAATAAATAAAAACTTATTAAAACATAAATTTATGTTTGTTTTTTATCCTATCCTATCTATGGAAATGGGAAAATGGATGGACTACATCAAATCACTATACTTCCAGTGAAATATTTATATGGTGTATATTGAAATATAGAAACTAGCCTATTTGGCCCGGTTGTTAAAATCCTGGTTAGGGATAACCGGTAGTTCCTGAGAATTAAAATAAAATAAATTAATTCTTTTTTTGTTATCATTTTAAAGCCTCAGATTTTTTTTAAACAGGTCAGTTTGATATATTTTGTTAATTTTGCTTTGAAGTACCAGTATCTTTTTTTTTTTTTCAACGACAACAACATTTTCACAAAACACTGATTAACTATAAGCAGCCTTTAAATAACTTGGGCCAGGTGGCAACTCTGCACAACTAGCTACTAGAGTTTATTGCTTTCTAGTTTACATAATGCAGAATTACTCAATATTAGTTATGTTGTGCCAACACTGGCTAATATGGTGAAATTGTAGGTGGAATAGAAATATTTCCTCGTAAATAAACTTGCCTCTACTTGATGTAAGCAACCAACCAGAGACAATACAAGGTTTCAGTGTGAAAGTGTCACATATTAAATTGTGACCTTCATGCTTTGTATTTTTCAACCTAGCTTATCCTTTTATTTTTTCTTTTAAGCTCAAGGATGTATCGAACAGCTCACAAAATAATGAATTAATCAAGTAATTTCTCTTTATATTTGTGCTATAAATATGAAAAAGTTCTGAATTTTCATGGAACAAGGGAGATAACTCATATTAAAATACATTTTGTATCAAACAATTTATAAATAAATAATACATCTGACACACATTTGAAGCAGAATATTGTGCCATAAACTATACTTACTAAGGTACACTTATTGTAGACAACATTTTGAAAATTATAGATAACCTAGCCTTAATTGATAACCATTACAAATGAAGAAATTTTCTTGGTGAGTTTTTATTTTCTGGTTTTTCATAACATGAACAACTCCAGATTGAAATATAAACAAGTCCCATTCAGTTAAATGTTATTTTATTATAATCACAAAATTCCATGATCATATCACAATAAAATAATTTGCACAATAATAATGACTAGATTTAATGAATGAATTTTATCTAATAAAAACTCTGACTCGCAAGAAAAAGTGAACACAACAACAAATACAACACATTACACAACAGGACAATATACAGACAAAATTGACAATTATAATAATCTAATTAATTTGCAAGCTGTCGGACAAAAGGTTGTACAGGTTCCGGGTAATAGAATGATGTAGAAATATGCATTGTAATACAATTTTGTAACTACATGACAGCTAATATATAGATAACTGAAATATTCTGCATGTCTATTGAATTAGTACTTGGGAATTAACTCCAAAATATTTCATATACAGGAAATCATCCAGAAAAGACTGTTTATCAACAATGCATTATTTTCTTTAAAATCATTTTACAAACTCTACTTGAGATATTGAAAGTAAATTCTTAAAATTTTTTGAGGACATTAGTTGGACTATGAACTGCCAATGAAATATTTACTGCACGAGGTTTAAAATGCATCTCCTTTAAGTGGTAGCTATCAAAATTACTCCTTATATAATACCTGTGATTTTTATTTAAAAGTAACATCAGGGTTTTTATCTCATCATCAGTTGTGTACTGATTTGATGACAGAAATCAGACTGGAATATTGCTATAATTGTATGACAAACCCATCCCTATAATTTCTGTTAAGTAGAATAACAAATATTCCAATAGCCTACAATAGGACAATCACCTGACTTTACACCTAACCTTCTGTTTCTACCTCCCATTGGTCTATTGGAGGGAAAAAAACAGATTTATTTATCATAAATAAGTATTATAATCACAAAATACAGATACATAAATAACAGAATATCTGTGGTGATGATAACAATGAGCTGGTTGACTTTCCATAGAACTAGTCCTTCACACATGGTTTTCCGAAGAAAAGGCTGTAAAAGGTGTTTTTTTCTCAGTCTTTTCCCCCCAATGGTTCAAAAGTCAATTTTTTTCACAGGCGTTACTTCATGATCTTAATTGTTTTCACCATTAACTTTGGTCTAATAGTACAGTGTATTTTTGTAATTTTATGCTATCCTTGCAAACAGCTGACAAATAGAACCCCTGAATAATTACAGCTTCTTTTGCATTAAATTCTGTGTTGTCCAGCTAACTTCTCACGGCACCCACACATGTACATTTTCTTACTCAATGGCAATCATTTGTTTTAGTGAAGATTTCTATTCCCTCTATAGTACATTCATGGTTCTCTGCTAAGTCATTGGTGGGTTCTGCTACCAACCAACGCTGCCTTCTGTATGTAGTCTTTTCATCAAAATCCTGGGTGGCTCATGTCAGACTGAGAAAACAAAAATACAAACGAGTAAGGATTTGAATTATATCCACAAAGGAAATAAGCAAGAATTAAAGAAGAAGAAAAAAGTCTAGTTTTCAATGGTATGGAAATCAGTTCATTAAAATATATTTATAAACAACTTCCTTCACTAATTATAAAGGTTCTGCATTTCAAATATTACACTTTGATATTTGATTTCATTTGGACAAATCTAATCAAAATTTAAAATCCAATTCAGAAAACTGAAAAATGATCCATTCTCTTAGTTATTTTTTAAAATGGACAATGCTTGCTGCTATATATATCCTTTCTAAATATATCCACTTCAATGTTTGAAATTCCAACATACCAGAGACACAGTGAAACACATATTACAACTAAATATAACAACTAAATGTTCAGGATAGATTCAATACTGACAGATGTAATTGTTAACTGCTCCTATTTTCAAAATCATGTGATCAATAACAGAAGTGAACAGTTAGTTTGGGTAGCACCTGGTTCATTTAAACAAATACACATGCCTGTCTAGGAAAACTGAGCAGATTATCACAGATCAGTTGACTTACTGAATTTAGCTATATGTAAACTAGAAAATGCTTCTGAATATGAGATGAGACAGACAAACAATTAGAAGCATTGGCTGGTATGTTAATTTTAAGTAAATTGTCATATACATTAGTGGTAGTTGAAATAGCTATATACTAATAAATTTGAAGTACACAAGGACTGTATGTAGTAAACAATATGCGTTTTGTTCTCATTGCAGACACATTATACTACATCTGATGTACACATCATACCATACCTGAGATTACAGGTATGCTAACACATGCATACAATGACCACTAATCTTTCACACATGCATCATTACACAATCAGTCTGCACGGAAAACATTCCATCTTCAACATGCACTGATTATAATCATACACATGCAGAGGTAGGTAAAAATGTAAATAACCACTTATTATAAATGTTGTTTCCATACTTATTACCACACAGCGTCAAAGTACAACACCTAATCTGTCCCCAGAGTATTACACCAAGTCTGTCCCCACAGTATCACACCAAGTCTGTCCCCAGAGTATCACACCAAGTCTGTCCCCAGAGTACCACACCAAGTCTGTCCCCAGAGTATCACACCAAGTCTGTCCCCAGAGTATCATACCAAGTCTGTCCCCAGAGTATCATACCAAGTCTGTCCCCAGAGTATCACACCAAGTCCGTCCCCAGAGTATCACACCAAGTCTGTCCCCAGAGTATCACACCAAGTCTGTCCCCAGAGTATCATACCAAGTCTGTCCCCAGAGTATCACACCAAGTCTGTCCCCAGAGTATCATACCAAGTCCGTCCCCAGAGTATCATACCAAGTCCGTCCCCAGAGTATCACACTAAGTCTGTCCCCAGAGTATCACACCAAGTCTGTCCCCAGAGTATCACACCAAGTCTGTCCCCAGAGTATCATACCAAGTCTGTCCCCACAGTATCACACCAAGTCTGTCCCCAGAGTATCATACCAAGTCCGTCCCCACAGTATCACACCAAGTCTGTCCCCAGAGTATCACACCAAGTCTGTCCCCACAGTATCACACCAAGTCTGTCCCCACAGTATCACACCAAGTCTGTCCCCAGAGTATCACACCAAGTCTGTCCCCAGAGTATCATACCAAGTCTGTCCCCACAGTATCACACCAAGTCTGTCCCCAGAGTATCACACCAAGTCTGTCCCCAGAGTATCATACCAAGTCTGTCCCCAGAGTATCACACCAAGTCTGTCCCCACAGTATCACACCAAGTCTGTCCCCACAGTATCACACCAAGTCTGTCCCCAGAGTATCACACCAAGTCTGTCCCCAGAGTATCACACCAAGTCTGTCCCCAAAGTATCACACCAAATCTGTCCCCACAGTATCACACCAAGTCTGTCCCCATCTGTCCCCAGAGTATCACACCAAGTCCGTCCCCACAGTATCACACCAAGTCTGTCCCCAGAGTATCATACCAAGTCTGTCCCCAGAGTATCACACCAAGTCTGTCCCCAGAGTATCACACCAAGTCTGTCCCCACAGTATCACACCCAGTCTGTCCCCAGAGTATCACACCAAGTCTGTCCCCAGAGTATCACACCCAATCTGTCCCCAGAGTATCACACCAAGTCTGTCCCCACAGTATCACACCAAGTCTGTCCCCAGAGTATCATACCAAATCTGTCCCCACAGTATCACACCAAGTCCGTCCCCCTGTCCCCAGAGTATCCACCCAAGTCTGTCCCCAGAGTATCACACCCAGAGTATCTGTCCCCAGAGAGTATCACACACCAAGTATCACACCCGTCTGTCCCCAGAGTATCACACCCAGTCTGTCCCCACAGTATCACACCAAGTCTGTCCCCAGAGTATCACACCAAGTCTGTCCCCAGAGTATCACACCAAGTCTGTCCCCAGAGTATCACACCAAGTCCGTCCCCAGAGTATCACACCAAGTCCGTCCCCAGAGTATCACACCAAGTCCGTCCCCAGAGTATCACACCAAGTCCGTCCCCAGAGTATCACACCAAGTCCGTCCCCAGAGTATCACACCAAGTACGTCCCCAGAGTATCATACCAGATTTGTGTCAATAGTATCAACACTGTATATCAAATACCACACTTTCCAGAAAATCATGCCAACACCAAACCATGCATGTTTACCTGGGCCATTTGTTGAGGAATTGCTGGAGTTTGTTGTTGCTGTAATGTTGAATTCATTTCAATAAAGCTTAGCTGAATAAATTTTCTCATTTATGCAAAGATATTTTTTTTTACAATTTCATTATCTACACTACTTTCAAAATAATCCTTGCAAATGGCCCTACTTTCTCAGCAAGTTCTCCTAGTGGTTCCGATATCTCTCCTTGGTCATCAAATAGTTACACTGCGATCAGTGAGAGAAAAGGGGATATCTGTTTATCATTGAGGGGTATGCGATATACCAAGGCCAATTACCAACATGAATTTTTCAGTGGCAGGGTAAGGTAGGAGCAAAGTTTTGGGCCCAGGTGGTTGGGAGGGGTCTGTATGGGTACCCAGTGATTTCCAGAGTACTTACTGATGGATCCTCTATATGCTGCGATCCATCATCATAGTAACCCTGTGGTGAGGGGTGGACCTGTGCCTGGTATTGGCGGTGGTGTGCAGCCACAGGGTATTGATGGGAGGGATGTGCCGGTGTGGACGCCATCATTTGAGGACTTTCAAAGTCATGGATACTGGCATCTTCACTACTTTGGTCAGTATCAATCTGAGGAGTTCCAGGTGGTCTGTAATACATGGTGTCAATACTTAACATTTTTGTTTTATTTCTAGTAACATTGACTTTCAGGAGCCAATCTTGCAGAGAACTGAAGATGTTTATAAATCAATCTGTAGATCTTAAATCTATGAAATCTTTGTTGGAATTTTCTGATCACTAATGAATGTGATCAATTTCCAAAATGAAATAAAAACTGAAACTAAAATATAAACTGAACATTATAAATAGGTAGTTTCCTATCTGTTATTGACAACATGATCTGACCTATAAAAAGGATGATGGTTCCATGATTGGACAGGATTGTAAACTCACAAATTAGAGGCAGGGGGCCTCATTCTGCTGTAATTCGGCTCCATCTGTCGCTGTAAATCCTGCTGCTGTTTCTGGGCATTTATCCATGACACCTGGGACATCTGACTCATACCCACATTACCACTGTAAGGTCAGAGATCAAGGTCAAAGTTTAAGTACCATAATTGATATGAAAGTCTAGCATCCAGATCACCATTGAAATGTTAGAGATTAAGGTCAAAGGTTAAGCACAGTTACAGATCTTTGGCCACGTGACTCACACCCATAGTACCAATGAAAGTTTAGAGATTAAGGTCAAAGGTAAAGCAGTTATAGATCTTTGGACATATTACCACTGTAAGGTCAGAGGTTAAAGTCAAAGGTTAAATAACGGCTATAGATCATGGGACATCAGACTTATACATAAGTTACACACCCCTGTAAGGTTGGTGATCAGGGTCATAGATTTTATGATATATAGAAAAATATTTCAATATGTTAAAGTTTGCTTCTTTTGTAACAATTCAGTCCCATCATATAGTGATAGACCGTTCTGTTGTAACATTATAAATATTGTATAGTAGTTTAATTTTGCAGGGCTAATATTTTGCTACAGCCCCTATTTCGGTTTGTTCATGGAGATTCAATTTCAAACAATGCTGCATTAAACAGTAAACAGAAGAGCAAGTATAAATCATATCAATATACATTCTCAGAGATTTAGAATCAATAGTAATCATTTGTGTGGTATTTAATTTCATGCAGTATTAAATGACTGTGAATAACGCTATATTAAATCCCTCCTATCATTCTGAATTATGCAGTATTCCGTTGAAGTAATAAGAGTGTTTCAATGATTTTGCACTACATGTAAGTCTGACAACTTTGGTTTTAACAATTTGACACCTATAATAAGGGAACCTGACATTTCATCTAGATGATATAAAGACAAGAATCATAACCATTTGCAAACAGTCATTTCTGTTTAGAAAATGGCAATATGTGCCAAGAAAAACACATAGATTTGGAAAACCTTAAAAGATCGGAGCAATGTGGCATATAGCACAAAAATGACAAGGAATTAATGCCTTGGAAAATTTTTTTTTCTCAATAGAAAATACTTGTTAAATAAATTTAGCCCTTGTGACTTTTCACAATGGTCAAAGTCATTTCCTTTGGCAAATTTAGAAGCACTCCATGCCAGCTAGTGGATGCACAAATATCATGACTTCAGACTTCCAATCTTCCTCAAGAATGGGGAAATATTAATCAAATTCAAAGATAAAAGGCCTATGTTCAAGGTTACCTCTTACTTCAAATTTTAACAACTTCTTACCAGCCAACTTTTGACCATAGAGTATGTCTTTCAGTTTCAAAAGAATTTGTTTAATTTTTTTAACAAATTGACCTCTGTGACCTTGAAAATTGGCTGATGCTATTTCTTTTCCTGAACTTTGTTGGGCATCATCCAAAAACTCTTGTAATCAAATATCAAGCTACTAAACTCAATGCTTCAGAAGAAAAGGTCTCTTAACAAAGAAACCAATGAAAAGTTGACAGAATGATATCAACTGAAAAGGCCCTAGGGACAGGTGAGCTGATCAAAATAAAACAAAACAGTTAAAAACTTAATCCGATGAATTTATTTCCCTTCTTTTTTTATGGAAGGTAAAAGTTCAATTTCTTTTATAAAATATTTACTGTTACATACTCTATGAATTGCAAAAATGTGTCAATGTTTCGTTACTGATGCTGTCTAGGAATATTTACATCTATTTACAATTAATTACAAACAATATCATTATTTCTTTCCTTGAACATTTCTATGATGAAGCTATAAAGTTAATTTTTCATTTACATAATATTATTGAACCCATGATTGACAACATATGATAAATTTTGTATATGTGAATTGCAATGTTATGCGAATAAATATAATGAAATGACACTCTATGAATATTTAAACCTAAAAAATAAAATTGAACAAAATAAAATTGACAAATCATCATGTGGCATAATATTCATACATGCATTAAATCATAACGCCGGTACAACTTGCATGAATTCTCAAAGATCTGCTGCTAATTCTATCTTAAAATCTCCATGTTGCCAGAGAACCATACAAAAAAATGAATATTTGTGTGAATTTTTACTCCCAAACATTTTTAGAAACATTTAGTACATGTCATAAGGATATTTCTACAATTTTCATCAGTAATGCTAGCAGCACAACTTTTTTGTTTACACCATCTAACATTTTCAGAAAATTCTAGGAAATTTAGGAAAAACTTCAACCAGATTGACACTCTCAGCATGTTTGTGCTTAGCATTAAAAAAAACCCAGAAACATTTACAGTAGTATGATGGAAATACAAAACACACAACAATTAAGAATTTAGTCAAGATTCATCACATAAAAGCAATAAACAAATACATCGAAAATAAAAAAAGTAATTAAGATTTGTAATTAAAATTTTACAAAAGCAAACTGAATTTCAATAGTCATACAAATGGAACATACAATGTTTAAAAGTAGACAGTGCTTTACATTCTTTAGAAGAAGTTCTCCCATGATCCTAGGATATGAAGTGTATTATTTAGAATATCATTGTAATGTCAGTGTAAACGAGAATTGGACTTAATTGTGATAAAACTCTTACTAATTGGTATACATTTTAAAAAGACAACCACATTATATTATAACAATTATATGGTTTCAGCAACACAAATCTGTTTCAGTATTTATAAATCCACATTTTAAGTGTAAATGTAATGAAACATTATATGTTGATAGTTAAACACTGTCCAATGTTAATGAAATTTGCTACAAGTCTGAATCAGGTTGCAGATTGTAACAAATTCTCTTGTCTTTGACAGGTGCAGGTTTTGGAGTTTCAGGGCTTCGGCAGCAGATATCTTGGACGGGAAACAATCCCACACACATAGCAAGGGACTGAGCACGAACTAAATAAGCTCAAGGTCATCATAAACACGTTCAAGGTCACCATAATCTAGAAAGAACACAGAAACAAAGAGACGCAACTCAATAAAAGTAAAAACAAAAACAGAAATCAACAAAATAAAAGAGAAAGTCATGCAAAAACACAACGTAAAATAATCAATACTTTACTCAAATACTTTAAGGCAGAACATAAAACTGTAAAAGTTATAACGCTCTTTATGTTTTTGTCATATTCCAGGATTCTAAAAAACTGAGACAGAAAATTCTCACTTTCCATATTTTTAGATATATTGCTAGATTTAGTGCTTGGACAATGCAGTGTTGAAAGTATTTCACAATGATAGAAGCTATATCTGTGTGTAAATTGTTCAGTCTAGTGCATGTATAACGTTTTCTACGACAGGATAAAGAAGCTTTCAAGTGCCATTTCTTTCATGTTGTTTATTCATAGCATCTTTGTGTTAATATGATCTGTAGCTTTTTATAATATTCTAGTAGCATATCCGAAAAATGTTTTGTTTTATTGACATTCTGTGAAATATATGATCTATAACAGGTGAGTGTGATGGAACAAAGTGAGTGGAAATGTACACATGATTTATCATTATTGTTATTACATGTTTTGTTATTTAAATGAATAAACAATAAAACAATAAAGTTGAAATCTATTTGTTTCCGTTTATTGACTACCATTTCAAATAACAGATTAAATAACATTGTTTGTACCACGGAGTACCTTGCTATCACATTTTGTTCAACTGCAACAAACATCAGTAAATTGATAACGTTAACCTAATTCAGACACTTTGTTCGAGTTAAAACTTGGATAAGTCGAAATATTTTCCACGATTCATTGAATTTCAAGATAACAAGTGTCCAATGTATCTATATTTTAAAATAAAACATCTATAAGATCCACCCTATACAAACTATCAGATCCACCTATCACAGACTACAAGGTCTACCTATTACTTATATCAATTGAATCCACTCATTACAAGCTATCAGATCCACCTATCACAGACTACAAGGTCTACCTATTACTTATATCAATTGAATCCACTCATTACAAGCTATCAGATCCACCTATCACAGACTACAAGGTCTACCTATTACTTATATCAATTGAATCCACTTATTACAAACTATCACATCCACCTATGACAAACTGCAGTATTCACATATTACAACCTCATATTATCTGAGAAAAATAGCTCTGTCATCTTAAGGATAACTGATAAGTCAATGTACAATGTATCAATATTCAGCTTAATCAGACAATGCCTCAATTTGACCAATCAGGAGCCTCCGTTATCTTTCCATAGTAACAATTTGGAAACATATATTACGTTGTATCATAAGCTCAAGTTACACAATGCAACCACCAAGTTTTTCTACGGAAATAAGAGCTATGGGCCATTACATAAGCACATATATAGTGACCAGGTTACCAAGGCAACAAAACTTTCCCCCCCAAGCTTCAATAAAAGTTGTCTAGGGACTAAATGGGTTATGGTCCTTTACACAAAAATCTGTGTAGTGGTCTGGTTACTATGGAAACTAGAATTGTCTGCTTGGAAACCTGCATGCACATCTACATATTGTCTCTAACATTCCTGTTATAGTTTTATCAAAATTGGTTCCAAAGATCAGGAAGAGTTTCCCACAAAAAAATTTGTTAATGGCAAACATCTACAAAAGGTATTTGCATTCAACAAAAGCATTAAAAATGGTATAATCAAGATTATTTTGTCAGCTTTCAACATCCATTCTTACCTCAAAATGTTTAGACTAAATTACAAGAAATTGTATCTCCCTTCCCCCAAACAATCACGCCACAAAATGAACCATTATCAAACCATTAAGATATGTTTTCTTTTCTAATAAATTTTGGAGCAGAATTACCTCTGTATAAATCTTATTGAGACTAGGATCTGAATAGACCAGGTTTAAAAATACTTATCAAATAGATACTTTTTTGAAACAGAATTACTTCTTATCAAACAGTTTCTGAAGAAGATTATATTCTGAATAGACTTTCTATCCAGACAAGGTACTTTAGATTTAGAAGTAAAAATGAAAACAAAAACAAGTCACAATATGGGGATCTCCTGTATAATAAGCAATCAGTGATCTCAATTTAAGTTATTGACACGCCTGACTTGATATTTAATTTGAGTTATTGACACAACTGACTGGATATTTGATTTGAGTTATTGACACGACTGACTGGATATTTGATTGGAGTTATTGACACGCCCGACTTGATATTTGATTTGAGTTATTGACACAACTGATTGACACGATGGACTTGATATTTGATTGCAGTTATTGACACAACTTATTGACACGACTGACTTGATATTTGATTGGAGTTATTGACACAACTGATTGACACAACTGACTGGATATTTGATTGGAGTTATTGACACAACTTATTGACACGACTGACTTGATATTTGATTGGAGTTATTGACACAACTGATTGACACAACTGACTGGATATTTGATTGGAGTTATTGACACGCCCGACTTGATATTTGATTGGAGTTATTGACACAACTGATTGACACGACTGACTTGATATTTGATTGGAGTTATTGACACGACTGACTTGATATTTGATTTGAGTTATTGACACGACTGACTGGATATTTGATTAAGTTATTGACACAACTGACTTGATATTTGATTTGAGTTATTGACACAACTGACTTGATATTTGATTTGAGTTATTGACACAACTGACTGGATATTTGATTAAGTTATTGACACGACTGATTGACATGACTGACTTGATATTTGATTTGAGTTATTGACACGACTGACTTGATATTTGATTTGAGTTATTGACACGACTGACTTGATATTTGATTAGAGTTATTGACACGACTGACTGGATATTTGATTTGAGTTATTGACACAACTGACTGGATATTTGATTAAGTTATTGACACGACTGACTTGATATTTGATTTGAGTTATTGACACGACTGACTTGATATTTGATTTGACTTATTGACACGACTGATTGACACGACTGACTTGATATTTGATTTGAGTTAATGACACGACTGACTGAATATTTGATTTGAGTTATTGACACGACTGACTTGATATTTGATTAGAGTTATTGACACAACTGACTGGATATTTGATTAGAGTTATTGACAACTGACTTGATATTTGATTTGAGTTATTGACACGACTGACTTGATATTTGATTTGAGTTATTGACACGACTGACTTGATATTTGATTAGAGTTATTGACAACTGACTTGATATTTGATTAGAGTTATTGACACGACTGACTGGATATTTGATTTGAGTTATTGACAACTGACTTGATATTTGATTTGAGTTATTGACACGACTGACTGGATATTTGATTTGAGTTATTGACACGACTGACTGGATATTTGATTTGAGTTATTGACAACTGACTTGATATTTGATTAGAGTTATTGACACGACTGACTTGATATTTGATTAGAGTTATTGACACGACTGACTTGATATTTGATTAGAGTTATTGACACGACTGACTGGATATTTGATTTGAGTTATTGACACGACTGACTGGATATTTGATTTGAGTTATTGACACGACTGACTTGATATTTGATTTGAGTTATTGACAACTGACTTGATATTTGATTTGAGTTATTGACACGACTGACTTGATATTTAATTTCAACTATTGGCTCGATATAGGTAATATCCCATTTTGGAGTTGAGACATTTGTTTTACTGAAAAGTGTTGCTCTACTCATCTACAAGTTCTTACTATTGCTGTATTTCACATAAAAATAAATGAATCACACAACAAAGAAACAAACCTGACAGACAACAATGAAGCAGAGACAGCGTGCAGTATACTTACGAGTCCTGAAAGTCCTGCTCTGATCCTTGTTCTGATGGTGCGCCAATACTCTCCTCATCAGCACGGCGACGTTTGATTGCGGTGGAAGTGAGCTGTGGGGGCATGCTTGGGGCAGGGGTGGGTGGCTCTCCCCATTCTCCAGTGTTAGAGTCATGATCAGATACTGTTAATGATAAAATTATTTGAAATTCCCTAGGTTTCTTCATTACAAAACACTTACATCTTTTAGTTATAAATATAACAATGGCCATTTTCATTTCAATGCCTCTACTAGGATTCGAACCTGACACCTTTAGCTTAATAACTAGTCTGACGCTAATCCAATCAAGTTAAAGAAAAGTTCTCTATAGCCAATTGGTATATTGCAGCTAGTATTTTACCAAGGTTACATACTCCTCCTCCAGGAAATAACTTGTCCCCAAGTTTCCATAGGGATAAAGAATTGTTAAAGAAATGTTAAGTATTGTTCCTGAGAGCCTACATGGGCGCCAATGTAACAGAAGTCATTATATATTTCATGCCTCCCCTAGGATTCAAACAAGTGACCTCTAGTTTACTTTTCTGACCCTCAACATTCTACATTTGTAATTGGTGTGTTATATATCCATCTTTAAGCTTTCTGATAAACAGCAGTTTAATTCTGTACATAAATATTAATCAATAGCGCTTAATTTCAATATTAATTTCCACTGTGAACAGAAAACCAATCTTTTATCCACATTACTGTTTACAGATATCACACTCACTGTCAGCCTTGCGTTTGCCATATCGTCTCTGTGAGGCCTGTTTCAGTGTGATGGGGTGGATTTCATGCTCTCCCTGCACCAGACTGTTCCGGTAAGTGATCAGAGACTGCCACTCGTCACTACGGTTGGTCTGGGGAATCCCAGTGGCTGGTAGGTGCTTGTCTAGGTAACTCAGCCTGTCAAACAGGGAAATATCACAAGGATTATGAACTACTTATAAACTGTCACTGATACGAATTTAAAACAGCAATATCTTTATTCTGTTAACTTATAACAGTTGTTCTTGTTTTTCTATACTTACACCACTTTTTTATCCTGCTTCATGAGTTTGTTGGTGAACTCACACAACACCTCAAGGAAAGCAATGTTGGTAGGAGGGCCTTCATGTCCTTCTTCCATTGCTAAACCATACAATATACCCTCCCTGTAACAAACAATATCATATCATACAATGTACCCTTCCTGTAAAAACCAACATCATATATATTACAATGTACCCTTCCTGTTAACAACCAACATCATATATATTACAATGTACCCTTCCTGTAACAACCAACGTCATATATATTACAATGTACCCTTCCTGTAACAACCAAAATCATATATATTACAATGTACCCTTCCTGTGTGTATATATATTACAATGTACCCTTCCTGTAACAACCAACATCATATATATTACAATGTATATGTAACAACCAACATCATATATATTACAATGTACCTTTCCTGTAACAACCAACGTCATATATATTACAATGTACCGTTCCTGTAACAACCAACGTCATATATATTACAATGTACCCTTCCTGTAACAACCAACGTCATATATATTACAATGTACCCTTCCTGTAACAACCAACATCATATATATTACAATGTACCCTTCCTGTAACAACCAACATCATATATATTACAATGTACCTTTCCTGTAACAACCAACGTCATATATATTACAATGTACCCTTCCTGTAACAACCAACGTCGTATATATTACAATGTACCCTTCCTGTAACAACCAACATCATATATATTACAATGTACCCTTCCTGTAACAACCAACATCATATATATTACAATGTACCCTTCCTGTAACAACCAACGTCATATATATTACAATGTACCCTTCCTGTAACAACCAACGTCGTATATATTACAATGTACCCTTCCTGTAACAACCAACATCATATATATTACAATGTACCCTTCCTGTAACAACCAACATCATATATATTACAATGTACCCTTCCTGTAACAACCAACATCATATATATTACAATGTACCCTTCCTGTAACAACCAACATCATATATATTACAATGTACCCTTCCTGTAACAACCAACATCATATATATTACAATGTACCCTTCCTGTAACAACCAACATCATATATATTACAATGTACCCTTCCTGTAACAACCAACGTCATATATATTACAATGTACCCTTCCTGTAACAACCAACATCATATATATTACAATGTACCCTTCCTGTAACAACCAAAATCATATATATTACAATGTACCCTTCCTGTAACAACCAACGTCATATATATTACAATGTACCCTTCCTGTAACAACCAACATCATATATATTACAATGTACCCTTCCTGTAACAACCAACATCATATATATTACAATGTACCCTTCCTGTAACAACCAACGTCATATATATTACAATGTACCCTTCCTGTAACAACCAACATCATATATATCACAATGTACCCTCCCCTAAAAATCATAGATTGCTTAAGGTATCCAATGACAGGCATAATCTAGTTTCTCCTGAAATAACAGCACCCCTAACATTAAGGCTATATGGACCATTTTTTTTATTTGGCTTTTATATTCCTCTGAACACCAACTTCCCAACTGATAGATACAAAAAATAATCAACAGTATTATCATATTATGTTTCTTCTATTTGCAAACACCAAATAAATCTATGAAGAATGAAATCAAACTTACTTATGCATAGCTGCTACAGCCTCTCTATTCTTGATCTGGTCCAAACCAAATGAGAGTGCAAATCTTCTTGCCAATTCCTAGAAAAAACCAAGCCATGGAAAAAATCTTAATCGGAAATGACAATGCAATGTTTAGAGTATATCCATATTCTAATTTTAGAAAGTGGCCCTGACCTTAGAAACGTGCCCTAAAACTACTGCTAATTGCATATATCATTGCATAATGATGTGAAATACCAGCAAGGTATGTTAAAGTTGGCTTTTGAAAGTTTCTAGAAACAAAAATGAGGACAGAAAATGTTATTACCATAGGATGACCACATCTCAGAAAACTCTATCTGATGTAAAAGATCAAACTATTAGGAAACATTTTTCGGCTACACTATTTCATACATAATTTTCCACAAATTATTCTTTCAGTTAAAAGTAATTTGTGATTATTTTGAATCCCTTAAAAATATCTTGTTGTAAAGAATGCTTCAATTTTATTTTGTTTTGTGAAAGGTCTTACCTTCAGGGACTGGAAGGCTTCTGAAGATCTGTCTATTACACCTTGTTCTGAATGTAACTCACGGAATAACTGCAAATAAGATTGAGATATCAGAAATCCACTTCAGATAATGTATATCAAAATCTTAAGATAAGTATTTTAAACAAAAAGATCTGTGATTGATAGATAACACTTGCTGCAGAGAAATAAATGTAACCAGAAGGATTATTGGCCAAACAAAGTATTGACAGACTTACAGCCAAAACAAAGTATTGCTGATATTTTTCAGAAAAGTTTACCAGACAAGAAAACCTGCTATCTCCTTTACTTTTTATGCATTAAAAAGCAATCTATTTGCTTGTTCTTTGCTGGGTTCCCCTCTCTTTGAACGGTCAGAGTTATTTTAAGACATAGGTTAAATGTAGTGGACAGTGGTTACCTCATCAATAAGAATGCGAGAGGCACATCACTCTATCCGAAGCAATAAGGTCTTACCCTTAGACACCGAGCAATCTGTGAGTTTAGCTTCCTGAGAAACAAAACTGTCCTGTGTAGTTATCAAACTACCTACCTCAGACCTTCACCTCAGGTTAAAATGTTTGGTTCTCTACTAACTAAGGTATGGTAACACAAAAGCAACAGTGATTCAATGCTGACCTACCTGTGTGAGACTGAGTGCGAGGGTTTTAGCTGTGGTCACTTTGTTGATCTCCCTGGCTTTCGCCAATGTTGCCTTGATGATGTCTCCATAGTCATTGTAGAACTGAAGCCCCAATTAATTACAAATGAAACTATCTGGTAAGTCAACTGATAATGGTAAAACTTTCAAAGTGTTCAAGACTCAAACGTTGATTTCTTTTCAACTTTCATAATTCATAAAATGATGACAAAAGAAACAATGAGAAAAAATGATTTTTCTAATATCAATACATAGTACTTAAACATCTTCATTGTTGAAATCTTTGCACACAGAAATTTAAATCACATTTATCAACGGTTTAAACAGATTTGTCATTTTTTCATTAATCTGGTGTCAAAAAAAAGCTTAATGTATGATGACATTTTAAAGTCCATCATATCATAACCAAAACCAGACCTCCCACTTCATCATCCCTACAAATGATTTAATCAGAAAATAAAAATACCCATTCTGATTGGCACCCCGGGAGAAAAGAAATACAATCATTGACTGATCCAATGTTAATGGGTACGAGTGATGATTCAAGTTGCAGATATGATCCCATGTTAATGGGTCTGAGTGATCATACAAGTTGTAGATATGATCCATTGTAAATGGGTCTGAGTGATCATACAAGTTGCAGATATGATCCATTGTAAATGGGTCTGAGTGATCATACAAGTTGCAGATATGATCCATTGTAAATGGGTCTGAGTGATCATACAAGTTGTAGATATGATACATTGTAAATGGGTCTGAGTGATCATACAAGTTGTAGATATGATACATTGTTAATGGGTCTGAGTGATCATACAAGTTGTAGATATGATACATTGTTAATGGGTCTGAGTGATCATACAAGTTGTAGATAAAGTTTTATTTGTTTTGACTGGAATGATCAGGTGTATTCTAGGTAAAGTTTTATTTATATGTCGTGACTGATCAGGGATATTCAAGATAAAAGTCATCTATGTGTCTTGACCCAGTCAGAGAATTCTAGATAAATTTTAAGATATGTGTCTTCACTGATTAAGTATTCTAGATAAGATTTACCTTCATGTAATGTTTGAACATGTCTGCTGCTACCCTGATGCTGACAATATTGTACACAACCAGCTTACAGAAACAGGCCAGGAAGTTTCGTCGCTTGTGCAGTTCCTCAATTTTCACATTCTCGTCCACATCATCTGTAACCACCTCACATTATAATTTTTGTTTCATCCCAACATTGATTCACTTATTCAAAATCAAGCTTTTCACAACTTTTTACAGCTTAATAAAAGCGAAAACATGTTGTGATTTTTTTAGCAAATCCAATATTTTTATTTTTCTATCAGACCAGAGTGAATTTTTGCAAAGGTCACCGCTTGACCAAGACCTTAATCTCTTTTCCCACAGGTATTTCAAAACTGTGAAAGAGAAACTTACCATCCTCATCTTCAACAAAGACTTTCTCTGTAAGGAAGTTACTAAGCTGTGTCTGTAGTGTCTTGTCAGGCTCAAACACAAGTGGTTTCATCACACCATTGTCCCCGAGGTGTTTACTGAACACGATCAGAAGATCACAGATGGTGATGTAGCTCTAAAATTATAATTTCATCAATTATGGCACATCTTCATCATGTGTTTTAGACTTATAAATCAAACAAAATTTTCTTTTCAAGTTCAAGCGGGATTTCTTCCTCCTCTACCTGGACAACTTTAACAAGGTGTGAATGCTTTCTTCATTATATACACACATCATTACAGATCTTAAAAATTTCAGAAGTTGTTTATTTTGTGTCCACCACGACCAAATACATTCAACAAGTAATACACTGCATGAGATACATCATGATAGTTTTTAAAACTTTCCCATCCATCTTTCACACCTAAAATTTTTCCTGAACCAAACCTTTCAACAATATGTTGATGATTTATACACAGTGTAAACACAATGTTTGAAGTATAATCTGACTGTTTAAAACATATCGCTGAATCTATATGCAGAAAAATGTTTGAATGTTGGCTGTTTCAACTGATCAGTGTATACTTTTTCAAGAGAGGCCCGCCTCCGCATCCCTAAACTGATTATAGGGGCCAAACCCGCATGTCAAATTGCTCTAGAACCATTCCTCACCTCCTCTGTGACTTTGTCCTGTTGGTGAAACATCAGCTCGTGACAATGTCTCATCAGTTCCTCCAATCTCTTCCGAAGCATCCGCATACGATTCTGTAAACAAGAGCATGACATATTGTAAATCAAAGGCCTATTCCATCCATCCATTTTGTAAAAGGAGTGACGATGTTAGATTGAATTTAAAAATCCTTGTAAACCAACTTTATTTCACAGATACTAACTTTGAAATTCAGAAAAACACAAGCTTGCAGCAATTTATTTTCATGAATCCTGAATCACCATTTCAGCATTCAAAGTGCACTGTCTTTATCTAAACCCAATGAGGAGCCCCATAATCGGTCACTAATTTGGCCACAACAGGTAAGCTTATCATAGTATGTTTCTGGGAACCAAATGGCTTTAGACACTTTGTTAACACCAATCTACTTAACTTCCAAATTCCTTAAGCATCTCATATGTTTTTGTCTGTATCAAATATATGTCAAATCATTAGACAGATTTAATAAAAACTTCATATCCATTAGAAGATAGCAAAACTTTTAATTGGTTAGAAGATATGAAAATCCCTAAAACTGAGTTTTCTTCACTAGAAAAAGCAATATCTCAGTTATGTTATTTGTGTCCTACAATAGCTTTTTTATATGTATAGATGATATCAAAGAACAGGTCAAATATGTGATGAAAAATATCTACCTGAAGGAGGGATTCAGAAATAAAGAAAAATGATGCTGTAATCCTGAGAAATTGCAACATATGATATGGTAGTAAAGGGAAACTCTTGTCTCCATCTGACTTTCAGTAAATTAATTCTCATCTGTCAAAGAATTGTTATCTATTCCTTTGCCGCTCTCTTATAGTGAAACTTTAAAATTGTTGAATCGATCTTGTTGATAGATGAAAAATATCAGACAAAACGACTTCCAAAATAAATGTATCATTAAAAAGGACAAATGTTTTAATGTAATTCAATTCACAGTACTTACTTTGTCTGGGTTACTGGTATCAAGAGCCTGTAGATACCATAGGATTGCCATACTACAGGAGGATATTGCCTTGCTGATGATCTAGTGGGATAAAACAACTGTACAAGTTATCGTAAATGTAAAAACTTCACCTAGTTTGATTGTGTAACACTGAATAACAAAATATCACTTCTTGTGTCTCAGCCATCAGCCAATTTATTGCACAATGAAAATAGCAGAAATTTGGGACCATGTATGCTGTTAAACACTAATATTTTCGCATGAGATTTATTTGTTATGTGAGGAAAGCCAATCATGAATTTCAAATCAACGTCCCCAAATCATGTATTTACGAATATGTCTACAGATGCAAGTTCGCTAAATAAGTGTTCATGATTTTTTTTTTCTACATGATTTACTGTAACAAGAAGTATACAAAAACAAATGGACATCAAGGAAAATTATGGTTGCCAGAATAAAGCAGTCTCCACTTCGCTCACCTCCTCTGGAATAGCTAACTGGTTGTCATTTCCAGCTTTGATGATGTGAAACAGATCATCCCAGAGATTCCAACTCGTTAAATTATGACAACTGAAATAAAAGCATGAAATTCAAATAATGGATTGTCAGATATATTCTTAAATGTGAAAGCTGTGGTTTATACTTGTTAAGGTAGGTCTCGTAACGCCAGTTTTTCTTCTGTGTTCACTATAATACTTTCTAGTATTAGGATTTTAGTATCCTTTTGTGACAACAGCTGGAAATAATCCAAAATATCACATATTTTCTGTTGAGACATGCATAAAACCACTTTTGCATTAATTTCTGATGAGTAAACAAACTAATCAATCTTATCTAAATCCCTGAAAATGATTTCATATTATAATAAATGAAAAATTAATATCTGCAAGACTCGTGGAGTCTTGGTTCATTAAATAAACGAATCAAAAATATATTCTTGGTCGCATATGGCGAAGGATATGATAGAAGTCATTATCAATGAAATCTTAAAGACACACAAGGGAATTTTACCTATAAAAGGCATAGATTCGTTTTAGACAAGCTACAAGTGCAAACATCTCATCCTCGTCTGGCTCCTCACCCTGCAAAATCAAAAAACTTTTTAATGTATTATTTACTTCAATCTGCAACATTTTTATAATCAACCCTTCACATGTATTCTTCAAACATTCAGAACTAGGTACATGTACCTGTGTTATTTACCTTTACCATATAAGTCTATCCTCACTATACACAATTCAGGAACTCAAATCCACTAAAACTATAATACTTACTCGTACAATAATCATACAGCTATGTTCTAAACATACTTGGTGATGAAGAAGATGAACAAATTATGATAAATTAATTTCTGACCACAGCTGAGACAGCAGCATTGATAGGGTTTTACTGAGAACAGCTGACTAGCTTAGATCTTATCTAATGATGTATAAAGACATACACATATAGATATCATTTCTAACCAGCTCTGGTTGGGAATGAGCTCTACTTCTTTCATGGCATCAGAATTAGGCTCGGGTTTCTGCTGACATTTATTAAACATTAGAGATCACACTTCCTATCAAGGTGTTAATAGAGTGTTGCTTATCCATTGTGGGTCCCTGGTCAAGTGTTGGTTTCATAACATATATGTTACATCAAAACATAGAGACAATTTTGTACGACCTTATAGGCAGTTTAGTACTTCTTCTGAAGGCCCATTGTTAGCTCATCATTACCTCAGCAAAGAAGTCTTGCATGGCTTCCTTGAATTTGGCAACAAGGGAGTCAATGAGTGTTTTTCTGGCCACATCACACTTTCCAGCGATAGCGTAGTCTTCATTACACAGGCATTCATAACATTTAGAACTGGCTTCCAGTACCTTAACATGGAAGAAATCTATGGTTATAAATGGAGTTAAAAGTTCTACTGCTTTAAACATATATTGAGCAGATTTAAAACAAGATTTTTTCAATTGAAATTCCAGTAATATTATAAAATCACAAAATGACTTACAAAATAATAAGATAATTTTGTTTGTTATTTAATTTTCTCTCAAAAAGCAATAAAGAAATCCAAAGTCTTCTGCTGTCAGAGTTTGGAGATTCTGTAATAAAACCCTAAATGACACTTCGTGGATATCAATCCAGATAAATACAAGAATGAATTAATGGCATGTGTTGTAGTACAATGACATAACTAAATCAGCATAACTAAACAAAGAACAGATTTTAACCTATGACCTCATAATGGGGTCAAGGTGTTTATTTGAATGATAGCTATATAAACATTATATTCAAGCACAATAAAATTGTGGAATACTTTAAGCATTCTCTGCTTTTACAATATACATAATATCGATCTACATTACTATCGGACAGAAGTGGATTAAATGAGAAACTGATACTGGAGGACATACAACATAAGTACTGTTTCAGGTCAAATGAGTGTGATAAGTATTAATGTGATCGGACTCACCTCTGTGTCAGTATGTTTCTCCACCACCTCATGAAGGTATCGTAACGTTAGCTCCAGATTCTACAATAAAATCAGTTATAAAGGAGGATATCATGATAAACATGATGATAATAAGCAGCAATATTTAGGCCTCTCAGAGTATTTTACATGTGGATTTTAGTCATCATTATGGGACATAACATTCCTTTTGATGTCATTGAGTAACCATTTTGTAAGGTCTTTATTGTGGCACAAAGAAAATAAATGTTTTTTATTTAATGTCATATTTTAGTCAGTAAAGGTGTGAAGTTAGGTTGAAAAATCTCAAAATTAATATCCTCTCCATTATTAATACAGTATCTGACCACACTTTTACATATTTATATAAGTATCTTTTAACGTTGTGAACTTTGAGTAATATCTCAGCTTGTAGTCATAATTACCTTTTCCTGTCGACTTGCTGTGTAGATCTCAAGATTGAAGTACTGTGGAATTGTTAAAAGATTGGCTACCTTTTCAGGATCCATCAGATACTGTAAATTCATAGAAAGACTGTTTAATTTTTTGAAACAAACCCTGTAGATCTATATAACATGGTGATGTATATTGCTGGGGCTGGGTTGCTCAGCTTTCATATGTATATTCCTCATTAAAGCTAGAACAATTTATCAAATATCATACAATAAATTTTATCAGTAGGAATTCATTTATAGGCAGACATAAATTTTTATGAAGCCATCGTGTCCCCTACTAAATTTCCTTACATAAGATTTACAAAAATATTTGTTTTAAATGTTTCACGAGTTCACATAAGCAGCAATATTATCTATCTGATAAATATATTAAGTCACTTTTGTGTGATATCGACTTGATACCATAATTTTAGATTGGTTTATAAATAGACAGATAATGCACTCTGTCGAGTTGTGAGAAAGAACTGACCTTTAGAAGAAGTTGTGGTAATGTTGCTATGAAGTGTTCTGTCAGACGTGTTTTGTCCTCTATAACCTGTTTACCCTCTCTGGCTGTTAACTGTCAAAACATAAAAGTTTCACATGCAAAATACAAAATATATAAAGATGCTGACAGGGCCATTTAGTTATGCTACTTCAAATTAGAGCAGGCAATAACTTGTTTATGAATATCTGAAGACCTTTATTAAACTGTTTTTCAAAACTCAAGCACAAATTTTTCAGAGATTTCATGATTTAGCTTTTCTCATTTTTATCCTCTTACCTGAAAAAAAATCCTTGCTTGAAATGTTTCAAATTTTTTTTTATCAGTTTACCTTTTTCTTCAGCCCTCTTGGAAGGGGTGTTATAGATTTTTTTTACCTTTAAGGTCTACTCTCTTATGACAAAGATTCTCTTCACTAATAATTTTACCTTTTAGGTCTACTCTCTTGTGACAAAGATTCTCTTGACTAAAAATTTTATCTTTCAGGTCTACCCTCTTGTGACAAAGATTCTCTTCACTAATAATTTTACCTTTTAGGTCTACTCTCTTGTAACAAAGATTCTCTTGACTAATAATTTTACCTTTTAGGTCTGCCCTCTTGTGACAAAGATTTCCTGGCTAATAATTTTACCTTTTAGGTCTACCCTCTTGTGACAAAGATTCTCTTGACTAATAATTTTATCTTTCAGGTCTGCCCTCTTGTGACAAGGATTTTCTGGCTAATAATTTTACCTTTCTGTTTGGTCCTCTTCCAACAGGTGATTCTCCAGTAGCTGCCTGCTTCACACAGCATACCATAATTTCAATCAAACTTGTCTCTTGTCGGTCATCAAGTGCTGGAAAATAATAATTAACAAATTTGACTGTCTACCCTTCTTAAGCTTACTGATTCAAGCACTGACCAACATGAAAAGTTTACATCAGAATAGATAAAAATCTGATTCTCAAGTTCAAAACAGATAATAATAATTTCTTTTTTGCAAACCTCAAAGTCCTAAATATTGCATATCACTAGCATGCTTCCAGGGAAAATATTGAATTTTGTGTTTCTGGTGCATGAATAAGCCCCCTTTTCAATTTTTTGTCAAACTGTCTTGAAACAAGTGTGTCAGTGAAACTGAGGAATGCTCCCCAAAAACATCTGTAATGGACACATAATTAACAAAGGTCACTAATTCTGTAATTAAGGGATTGGGAGCCCGAACATTGGCACAGTGCACATGGTCTTCACATGATCATTCTAAACAACAAGTTTCACTATCCTACCTTAAATGCAAACAAAATTGTGCACTGGTCAAGATATTTTTATAAAGGGCAATAACTCTGTAATTAAGGGATTGTCGGCCCTAACACTGATACACTGCATGTTGTCTTTGTATGTTCACATACACTTTCATAACTCTAAGTTAAATGCAAGCAAAGTTGTGCTCTGGACAATATATTTTTAATAAAGGACAATATTTCCTATTATTTTTTACATGCACAACAATGTATAATGTTGTGTCAATGTAGTCTGGCAGTTACATACTGGTAGAAGACAAGGAAAAAGGAGGGATTTCTTTGTATGAAATAATTAAATACACTATTTTTGGGGCTATCTGACAGGAAATAAGACAGATGAAGTTGATACTTACGTTCCTCGCCTTTAGGGGGTTCCTCCAGTAGAAGATCTGTCATACATTCCCAGTCCCTCATCATGTCGTTAATATCCCACAAACTGTCTACTAGGTATGCACCATGTTCATGTAACTATCAAACATATAGATAATAAAGATAACAAACTTTTGTGATATATTGAGTTTGTTGGGTTTATCACTCTGTGAACAGATACAGTCATTTTGAAAGAAGGTTATCTTGTATCAGCTGGTGAGTCCAACACATGCCATCCAAAGCTATTGGTCTAAAGTGTTTTACCCAAGGACTTTCTGAGAAACTCATAATTTACATGAAATGTGTCAAAATATGTACCTCAGATCATCACCTGAGGTCACATAGGCCAGCTTCTGAACATTCTATATCTTATTAGCATCACACAGTAATGTGGATCAGCAAATTCTAAATAGCAATAACATGAAGTCACAAAATAAGACTAATTGTTACTTTTATTGTTCTACTGGCAACAATCTCTGACATCCTGTATGTAAGCTGTAGATACGAAAATATAATACTAACAAGAGTGCTGTGGACATAATATATGCCACCACAAAATATAAAGATCAAGATTGGTCCTTTTAATTATTGATTTTAACATGTCTGTATCATAAATCTTACCAAAGTCAATGAACCGTAAAATCGCCCCTTCATGCACATCGAACAATTGTATTAGTGACATTGAGCAAGTTTTATGAAAATCTGATCGTTAGTTTAGGAGGAGTTGCGTTCTCAAGAAATGGACGTACGGACGGACGTACATACAGACGGAGAAGATGACGCCAATATATGACCGCCTCCGGCGGTGTATTAAAAAGATATTGAGAATCAATATGTTTCACTGAAAGAATATACATTCAACAGTCTATTCAAAGGTTGACCTCGGATTATGCCTCAGATTCCATCATGGCTATTACCTCACTCTCGATGAAGAACTGCACCAGATCTCTGATGAGTGGTGCATTCAGACTCTGTTTCTTTCCTTTGTGTATTTTCAAAGTCCTTGTCAGCTCCTCATCCTTGCGGAAGAGTTTAGCATTTAAGAATTCTCCAGCAGCCTGTGCTACTTGTCGCTGTGAAGAGTACACCAGTTCATACACATTTTCACAGTCTTTGTCCCCCAGGATTGTGTCATTGAACCTACAATATTCAACAATAAATACATGCATCTAGTAATGTTGTGGTCAATATAATACATATATAATACTGGTTTTTCTCTGTCAATGTTGAAATTAAGGTATTAATTTCTTTAGAATCAAAAGATATTCTTTCAACATTGATCCCTTTTAGCAAAAGTTCAAGAAATTAAAAGTATATTTCACAGACTACAACACTTTTCTTTGTTATCTTTGATATTTTCTTTTTATTCCAATTCAAACATTCAACTAACTCTGTCTAATTTCAACATTTAACTAACTCCTGAGACAGAAGTACCATTGACTAGCTGATATACTTAATGCACATGCAGGTACTCACTTGAGTATACTGATAACAAGCTTGATGCCCTGTACAGCTACCTCATACTCCTTATCTAATGTCATCTCCACAATCCGATCCTAAAATATACAGTCACTTAAGCATTAATCTACTTTCAGTTGGCATCCATTGGCAATGTAAAATCTGAGGAACAGCAATTAAATGCAGTCTAATGTTTATAATTATCATTTTCACGATCCACATTTTTAAAATAATTTGCTTACACTACAATTTGCTTACACTACATGAGGACTCCTGAGCAGGTGGTAATACAGAACTGACTTTGGTAAGCTTTCATCTCAGATATTTCTACCTTTTCAATGCTAATGTTTCCAGTTTGACCAACCACTGTAGTTAACATATATTTGTTAATTCTAGTTTTTTCACTCTTAACATAATTTTAAGAAAAGAGAGAGGACTTCAGCAATGTTAACATTAAGAGTATTCACCTCCACAAATTTGTTCAACGTCAATCTATCGAAAACAAGTTTTTTTTTTCAAAATATTTTATTATCCTGACATAATAGTTTACTCTACTTGACATTTTCAACTGGATATGGATGAAAATCTAACTGAAAACCTTAACAAAAAACCCACTTAATCCTACCTTGAATCTGTTTGTGAAGAGCTCCAATTTGTGAGCCAAGTCCTCAGTGTTGTAAAGAGGCTGGAGGGCACGGAGACAGTGGAGACGAACCTCACCGACCTGAAGGCAGAATACAATGAAAGTAGAGTACAGATAATACCACAAAATTTGGACACTGATGACTTCTGAAATTTACTATATAGAACAAGCATTTAACTGTTAATAAATTTTTGTATAACGAAGGTCTAGAAATATATATTTTTAACTAATGTATTTAACAATAAGTTCTTTGATGATTAAAAAAACTTAAACATGTAGAAGTTTAAGTTTTAAAATCATATTAATATTCTCCATTTAACATATATACTTTGACTTGCATCAAGTCAATCATTACAATTGAAAGATATCTTTAAAAATAGAAATTGAACGCTTTCCATGTGATCTTCACTGCATTTGTGTCATAAATTTTAATTCAAATCTACAAGAACTTGTTATGACCTCATTTCCTTTCTATCATGGCATTAATTTATGAAACTTCATCATTGCTTTATTTTAGAAAACCAATCCAGAATTGTAATAGTGAAAGTACTGACCTTGTCATATAATGTCCAACCCACATATTTCAGGTAACCATCATCTAAAAACATGTTAGGGTATCTTTTCATCCACACTCCTATTTCTGCTATACATATTGATCTGATCTCTGGCTGGGCATCCCTGCAACAAACATAGTGAGATGGCATTATACCTTTGTAAAAAAATTGGTAAGACTGAATTTCATACAAGTTACTAAATTCAACAAGAATGACAAAAAACCGTTTCTGATCAAATCACACCATAATTTAAAAGAAACATTTCAGATCTGTTAACTGTAACATCACTTTGTCAAGGTTTTCAACATATATTTTGGAAGATATTTTATATGCATCATTGAAAAAGAAAGAAAGATTTTTTTATCACCTATTCAAGAAAATTAGTGATTGAAAAAACCTGAAAGACAGATTTAACATCAAGAAAATCCCAGAGTAAACCCAAATGTTGTACATGTGTACTCAAAATATATACACATGGTGAAAGCTTTCTATCAGAGGTGACTCATGACAAAATTGATTGCTTAAGTTCTCATTACTTTTGTTTGTATACATATCAAAAAGATTCCAAGGCTGATGTACTTAGATTGCCTGTTGCATACTGGCATGAACAGAAACAAAGTTTGTCAACAAGTTACATTGTATGTCAGTTTGCTACAAAGTATAAATATTACAGTATGTCAAAAAGTTACACTGTATGTCAATATGTAAGATTAAGTGTCAATAATGAAAGAAGTTTTGTTAAAAAGTTTAGGTCAGAATACACTCAATGTTTAAATAAAATTCACGTGCTGGGAATGTTTCATTTTGGGAATGTTTCAATTTCAAAGTGAATTTAATAGCTTAATATCTTCATTTAATTATAACTGAGCTTGTTACTTACCTGTATCTATGCACAAATACTCCTTTGAATATATATGTCAACATATTTCTGATTTCTGCCTGATTTTCCTCTAACTGTTGGGAAAACAAGAACAACATATTTGTTAGTTTCAACATCTAAAGTAACCACTATAGAAGCCCATCTCTATGCAGGAAAATATGAAAAAAAAAAAGAATAAATAAATTGTTTCTCTTAGTCTAGACAGATGTATTCACACTTTTATCTATGTGAGATTTCCATGATGTAAGGTGAGATCACTAAATAATACAATTGTAGAATGTCATGTCAACAATGCCAGGATTATAAACTCCTTGTGGATAGCATAGAGGGATCTAACCCTTGACCCAGGTCCGAAGGAAAAATTATTAAGTTCCCAAACCCTTGACAAACCTTGTGTTTGACAATTTCAGAATTTCCCTTTTTGGTTGATATCCAAATAAGACAGCCTCAAGGTCATGAATGATTCTAATTATCACATTGGATATATAACACAAACCTCTTGTCGTCTCTGTAACAGCATGTCCAACCTGTCGTTAGCACGCTTAGTCTGTTGCTTTTGTCGCTCAGCTTCATATTGTCGCTGAGTGTTGTCCAAGTTGATACTTAGATTCAGTGCCACATCCACAAGAGCTGTCATCAACTTCATGGCTGGAAAAGAAGAAATAAGTGGAAAAGGTAACCCAAAGGGGACTTACAAATTGTTTACTTATGAAACATTGTCACATATTTTCTATTAAATTAAGATTTTGAACTTTCAACTGATTTTCAACTACTTTATTAGAAATATAACTGCACAATCAAGTACTAACATGCGGGCACACAAAGGCCAAGAAGGCTTTCTTCAAATACTAGTTTTAGGTTACCTGCTAATGTTGAAGTGTGTCGGAAAGCACGAACTTGGGAGTCAGTGAGTCCAGTCAGGAGAGAGATGATGTTGTCCATCATGTACTGGTCATAAATAATGCTGTACTGACACTGTCGTACCAGTACCTGTACATACTCGCAGAAGTTGGAGCGGAACTTTTTCCACTGTGGCCCACTCATTATCAGTGGGTAGTCACCGCTGTCCTGGAACCAAAGATATCAATCAGACCACAATCCACACAAGTGAATAGCAACCCTTTTTCCTTTTTTTCTTTTCGTAAGTCAAAAGTAGATAAAGCTGTTCGAGAAAATGAATTAAAATGCTGCATGGAGCCGTGCAATCATTCTTGGGCATTTCAATACTGCTAAAAGCTTAAGGTGTTGTAACCTACAAGGCGATCAAGGAAAATCAAAGTTGGTGAAAAGAAATACCAAAATCTAGATGGGAGAAGCACTATCCATAGATTGATTAAATTTTATGATTTTCAAATATTGTATAATTCCAAAAGAACATCAAGTACATGTGTATAACAGTATTCTGAAACTTGCCACTACTATAATTAATTAAAGTGTGACATGCAGGTTACAGCAAACCTTGGGGGCCTGCAGACAGTGCAAAATAATAGTCACACAGAAGTGGTGAGTTATAGTGACATATTAAAACCATCTGAACACTTACAACTAAGGAATTTTACTAGCCAAAATAATTCTAAATGTAAAGCAAACGGTTTCAGATATTTTGTGTTATCAAATTTGGGTAAAGAACTCTCATCTGAACTTTTAATCATCATGTTTTCAAATGAGTTTCATTATAATACACTTATGAGTTAAAGATGTTGACAGATTTTAACTGTACTATTGTAATTTAAGAAAAAATTTCAAATCATGCGATTAACATTTGTTGATGTCCACAATACCCTATATATAGTGAACAGAGTTGATACAAATATCACTTAGCTAAGATTTGAGTTCCTTTCAATCCTTACACAACACCATTCAATGCAAACATGGTACAATGTAATCTTATGTGAAGTATTATAGCAATAGTGAAAAAACATGACAGTATTTCAAAGAATCCCCCCCCTCCGGCGTAAATAAGTTAAACCTGGAAATTTCCCTCACAATCATACCTCGTCAAACTCTTCTGTCATTTTCCTGATGATTTCAGAGTGTTCTTGGTTAGCGTACATGTAAGGACTGATCTTGCCTTTACAGCCGGATGACTGGACAAAAAACTGGATTAGCTCCAGAAGTGCAGCATCCCTGTCATTCTTGTATTTTTCTATCCATTCATCCACGGAACACTAAAGAAAATAAGTAAAGAAAAAAAAATGGTAATGAAATGATTGTCATCTTCTATAGGTGTTAACATCAGGTATATATCGATATCAGCAACAGTCTATTTCTTCAGAGATTTCGTGGACATACCCACTGAGTCCAAGTCCAGTAAATAGGATATTTCTCGTTGATGAGGAGTCTCAATAAACATTTGAAAACAAAAGAAGACAAAAAATTTAATCCAATTGTATGAGTGTACTAACCTGAAGTGAAGATCGTCCACCCCTAACCACATCAAACATACTGCCTGTACCAGCATCATCATCCTCACCACTCTTCTTCCTCCCACGACCACCTCCTCCACCTGCTTTCCTCTGACGACCCTGAAGCAGACAACTCAAACTTATCATCTTGAATCACAATTAAAGTGCAGTCTGAAACAGTCCTCAGAGGCAACACTGAAATTTTCAGAGGAGTGACACCTAACTTCAAAGTCAGTACTAGGCTGTCCAGCGGTTCTTGACAAAAAATTAGGGCTAATTTTAGGGCTAAAATTACAAAATTTTAGGGCAAATTTAAGGCTAAAATTAGGAATGTTGTAACTAGAATAGGGAGTATGAAAGCATTAAACTGACTTACTTTTGACAAAGTAGAAACTAACATACAATGCCTTAATTGCAGGAAAGGTATCTTCCAGGGTTTCAGTATCCCAGCTGCTGTTGGCTGTGACCTTAAGAATCACACTTCTGTCACAACCAATAACAATCTGGGTACAGAGATCCGCTGGTCAACTGCCTTTCAAGGTCTACCTTGAATGAGAACTACAGACTACATTAAAACACATTTTGACTATGAATTTAATGAAAACATTTTCAGTAAATTGTAAGAAATATAAAAAAGTAGGAACTGAAGTGAAAAATTAGGGCTTTTTTAGGAATTCCCTTTTAATTTTTCATTTTTTAAGGAATTTTAGCAAAACTGAAAAAAATTAGGATTTTTTAAGAATTTTAGGGACGCTGGACAGCCTGCAGTACAATACATCATTATTGGGATTCATTTGATGTACATTAAAGGAATAATAGTCTTCTGATCATACCGTAACCATAAAGGTTTCGCACATGGAACCTTACATTTTGCCATGAAATGTTCTAGGGGTGTAGAGAATGATAGTGAGCATAACCCCTGGAGTATCAAGGATGTAGAAAACATTCAATTGCAATAGGACTACAACACAACTTTGTAAAAAGGCAGTTTGTTATTACCCGCAGTGTACATAAACATTCACAGAGTCATGATCACTTCACAAATGAGGTACAGTATTCCTGTATAGCTATTCTGACCTTGAGTCAGAATGACAGACAACAAAGCTCTTTTCTCTATTTTACTTCACTATGATATTCTTTCCTAACAAGCAGTCATCAACAAAAATTTTACACCTGACTGACGAATTGTCATGACATAAACCTATTTGCCATTTCTGCAGAGGAGCTCAAAAGAAGTTATATTTAAAACTGTCTATAGTGACCCCCTTGGGGACGAAAAAATGGTTGGTGTGATGTAGTCGTCATACTTTCATTACATAGGTTATATTACATTTTGTTATCTATTACCAAACAAATGGCATGTAATTTCTGAAGCAATAAATTTGGAGTATTTAAGGCAGATAAATTATTGTTTTGTAAGTGGTTGGGACAACACTAAAACGCATTTTATGTGTAATTGGTGCCACTATAAATTGAATTATATGGATGACTGGTTTTAACAGGAACCCTTAAAAATTAAAGTGCAGGGGGCAAAATTGATACAGAAAATCAGAGGTTAGTAACCATTCTTAGGCATTCATGACAAGAAAATAATGACAACTGAAATAAACTAAGTAAAAATTGACATATAACGAGTACTTCTGTCCACGGCTTTCCTCGCAAAACTTCCAGGATACGTATGGTAGCTAATAGATTGAAAATTGACAACTTTCCCAGTTTTATATGTGTGGCAATGTTCTGATTTACCCCCTTGTTTTGAAACATCTATATTTAATTTCTTTATACATGTAAAAATAGGAAATATTCAGTGTTCCTTTTCATACATTTTAGGAAAATGTACTGCGTTTTAAAATCATTTTTTGGGAAAACTCACAATATTTTTGCTCAGGGAAGCCACATGTATTTGGCTGTAAGGGCAACAGAATGAAAATTTGTGGGAAATACAGTTCTGTGGGGGTTACTTGAGGTAACAAAATTAATTGTGTGGGTCATTGCATACATGCTTGGGTATTTAATAAATTTTATTGTACGGGTGGTTGGGGTAATAAGTAATAAGTGCCCCCTCCATATTCAATTCTGGAACAGGCCTTACACCCACTTATGATGTTTAGAAGAAAAAAAGGAAAATATTAGTAGTGTACTGGCTAAATTATTTCCTAACGAGTCTTTATCATAATCAGTCATACTTTGTCAGACTTGTTTAATAAACCCGATCCCCAACCTATAGTTAAATATGTTCCTGAAGTGTAATCTGTTTAAGCACTTAAATTACTTAAAACATGTTCTATTTATTGCTGGAGGTAGTTTTCCACATGAAAGTATTTGCTTATCATTAATACAAATTCAAATAGAAACAGGTCATATTAATGGGAGCCATCCATGATACTGTTCCATCAATAAAAAGTTTAACCCAACTTTTTTAAAAGGTGGATTTAGATGAATATCTTATTATCTAAGGGTTCATGCCAGTGGTCACCAATGATGTCTCCTGCGATAAAATATTGAATCTGGCTATTTTGACAACGAAACAAACCCACTAACTATTTTGTAAAATCTTATTAAATGTGAACCAGTAGTTCATTCATTTATTCATAATATGTTAAAAACCTTCTTAAAGCAAGTGTACTGAAATGGAAGTTGATTTCTTTATTCTTTATAACAGATCATAAAAATATTTTATCACTGTAAAACAATTAGTTCTATTATTTCATCATGGTTTTTAACCCAATTATATATATTTGGTCCCAAAATTGATGATTTGGCGAAAAAAAATAAATTAATTAAATTTTTTGGTACAAGAATTTTGAAAGCTGATCTTTTATTCCCTCTAAGGTCTGGTTTCATAACTGTTTCACATTTGGGGAAAATGTGCGTTTTACAACACACCTAACAGGTGTTATTCGTTAATGTCTTTTTCAGCTGAAGGTAATATGCATGATGGAGGTTTCATTCCAATACAAGTAATCAGTAAATCCACATCTCAACCAAACATCTGTGACAAAAAATAGTATAACAATAATAAGCAAAGGCTAATATATGCCTGTACAATACGTACACCCCCATCTGGTCCCTTCCTCTGTCGTTTCTTTCCCTTGGTTACTGTGGTCTGGCCTGGATCTTCGAAGTCACTGTCACTTTCTCTGTCATTATGACTTTCTGGACTGTAAGAATGATCAGTTAATAATTCATATAAGTATAGTCATAACACAAATGGAAATGAATGAAAATCAAACAATTTCCATCTCAATACTTACCTTTAACTGTATAAATTTGGAGAATTATATATTTTTTTCAGAAATTCGAAAGATACTATAGGCAAAAATATCAATGTGATCATGAATTTTTATATTTCAAAGCAGGGCCTTAGCAACTAATTCTTGAAGGAGATAAAGCTTCAGACACCCATTTTTGTTTTTCATAATATGTAATTTGTAATCTACTAAATGCAGACATCAGAATTACAATATTGTGCAACTTTGATATTGTCTAGGATACAGGACAATACATAGGAAAAATAACCTGGCCTTGCTAGCCAGATGAACAGTACTAGTATGATTTTGAAAATGAAATGCCAATATTTGTATCTGAACAGTAACTGAACACAAACTGATAGGATCTGGAGTAATGAAAGACAATTTTAAAACATTAGCTCAAGCCATTAACAAAGCTGGTCATGATACAGAGGAACTATATATATGAGATGGCCTCAGGCGAATATAAAATTAAACAAAACAGAGAATTTTGAGATTATGTCTACTGAAACATGAACTATTATAAGTGTTTTACAATGCCTCTATTGACATACATTGATAACTCTGATGATGGTTCCACAGCTGCAGCAACAAGCTCTTTCTTCTTCTGCCTCTTTGCTGCAGGCATCTTCTCTGGCGATACTTACCCACTAATCCTATATCCTGAATAAAACACAAGTTTACCTTTAAGCTGTTTGGTAATTTAAGGTCTAAGATAGAGAGCTTTTACAGTGTTTGGAAAGTCAGCTCTAAGAAATGTGCTGCATATAATCACATGAAAATACAGAACTTTGATACAGCTAATCAGGAAGCTTATTTAGAAAATTTGGGTGTATAAATTTTCCTGACAGTAACTCATGTTAGTGCTTGTTGGGATAATAGTGTAGGCATCAATGGTCCCTCTAAAATGAAATCAAGCACTCCATATTGATTGATTCCCATTTTGTTGCTGTATTCTATAGAATGACCCCTTTTAATTGCATTATTTACTATAATTGAAATGACCCTTTCCTCTAATATCCCAGGATATTCTTAAGCTTGTACAAGTGCTACATACAGTATAATACATGTAATGGAGAATACCACTGTTGAGTTACCATTAAAATTCCCCTCTAAAACCATGTATGGTACTTTCTTTCACAAATTATGATCAGTTAGCGTCCTAAGGGAGATAACACTTACGCCATAGTAAATGTTTTGATGTGTCGTGATTGTTTATAATAGAAACTAAGGCAGATTGTTTGCTTGATCAAAATGCATATATCAACAACGATACAGATTTTTAAAAAACACAGCGATTCAGGATTTTTGATACCTTCCGGTATTTTTGTTTTTGTTCGAGATTATTTTTTATGGGACGCCGTATATTTTTGACACTACATTCCACATCACGGACCGTTGCATTAGATTGTGTATAATTTTCAAGCTCTTTATTTCTTTGCCAGACAAAAGTATTGCATTTTAAGCATGTGTGGCGATGATATTAAGTAAAAACCGACCGGGAACGATCGACGCTGAGCCTCGTCATCAATGAAGGCGGCCATTATGAACTCTTTGTATAAATATTCACCAGTTTCCCTGAATGCACTAATTACCTGCTAGCTATTTATAAAAATACTTCTCGGTATTTCAAAACATAAAATAAAACGTACGTTAAAAGTTTTGGCATTATTGCACTCAAATATTAGCAGCAAAACGTCAGAATGAATACATACTTACCCGTGGCGGGAACGAAACACTACACACTCTCAACGTAATAAACCGGATGTAAACATTGATCACGTGACTTCAATCCAGAGTAAGCTCCCTTTAAATTTCCGCCAAAATTCAAAATAGATTCTTGTTAAATAGCAATACCCGGTAGGGTATTTTTTAACGTTTAAAAAGAATTATAAAAAAGTTTATTTTGTCCTTGGCGAGCAAAATTTGGATGCGATGAAATGGGAATGTAATGACAATGGCATTATTTTTTGCCAGTTATCTTACTATGAGAAGTGTTTAGTCTAGTTAAAGAATACCAAGCTTTTCAACATCAAGAAATATCAAACTGTTAAAGATTCTCTCTCTCTCTCTCTCTCTCTCTCTCTCTCTCTCTCTCTCTCTCTCTCTCTCTCTCTCTCTCTCTCTCTCTCTGTATGATTGATTAATAGATATATTGCACAATGATAAGATCAAACCTGATGCTGCTCACAAATATATTTAAGTTGCAAATAATAAATTTACTTGTACAAATTATAACATCTTATGATAGAACTGAGCATCTGCATTTAATCTAGAAGAAGTGCATAAGAATGTATCCTCTACACACACAGATGTTCAAATTGTCAAACTTGTTGTTACAGTTGTAAGAAACACACTTAACTACAAAGAAGTATTGTGTTGCACATTGATATCATATTCTGCAGAATATATACTATTGTTCCGAGTGAGAAAGAGAGAAAAACAATACCAACCACGAGTTTGGTAGAACTTTAAACTGTTGACAAACACATGATAACTAACCGTGTCTTTCTCTTGGCCGCTTTTTTTAACCTATTATGGGAAAAATGAATCCGAAAACGAATTTGCGACTTCACAAAATTAGCCCATAGAAGTAAAAATTGTGATGTTACTGTTATACGTACTTGATTTCCACTCAACACATGTTCCCATCGTATATAATGGCACTTTTTTTAATGCCCCAGAACTTGATTACATAGAGCTCTGCCAGGGTTAGGGCCCTGGGGTTAGACTCTGTACAACACGTGTCCCCACACAGGAGGGCTTCCTCTCACCACACTCATCAATCACCACAAGTGAATTTTGTTGTAAGGTAGCAGACTAATTATTCTATTCATCTAAGTATTCTTCTAGGCTTTGTGATTCATTTTGAATTCTTGCTAGAGCAAAATTTACATCTTTCCAGAACTTGTTTTTGATATCTTTCCCTATGTTTTCAAGCATCTCTGATTTCAGTCGAACAACAATGTTTTGATCCATTGTTAAGATTTCTTGAACTAAAGTTTTCTAAGGTGTAAGTTCATTTAATCTCTTTAACCATTTCAATTTTAAATATTTGATAAAAGAACCGATATGTGCCATTTTAAGGCCTCCATTTTCTAGCAAACCAATCAAGGTGTCCCTTTTAATTTTTTCCACTTTGTAATTCCAAATAAACTTGTACAGTACGCTGTTTAACTGAGTTATAATGCTTGAGGATGGAGTTGGAATAGAGCTAAATATATATACATATATTATGGGTCGACACAATGTGCATGTTATGGCGTCAATGGTATTTTAGCTGAGTGTAACAGTTCAAACTCTAAACTTGGAATACCGTTTCACAGAACAACACACGTTTTAAATGGGCGTAACCTCGTCACTCTGATTAGGAGTACAATGTATTGATTTCAGTGAGAAAGAGCGCAATATCTCATGCACTAGACTTAAATACAAAAAAAGAGGCCTTCGAATGGAGACTATTATTTAATTAGTTGAAGTTGTAGTTAACCTCATTATGTGTTATAATACACCAGCATGCCAAATTTAATCAAAATTTCAAAATATCTAACCTTTAATCGATCAGATTTCAAGATACGAAGGTGAAAATGGAAGTAAGTGTCCGATTTCCCATAATACAGGTACATACCAACTCTCATCCAAATCGGACAATGTTTACATTTCGGTCAATCTCAGACCAAGAAATCAGAAAATAGAAATTAAAGTTTTGTTCGTAATGATACAATGTACATACATACCAGTTTTTACAGAAGTGGGACTAAATCTAAGTTTGATTCTCGGGCGGTCACTGTGTGACAAATTGGCGGGCCGATTCAGATACCCGTGGGAAAATGGACAAATTTAAGAACGCAACTATAGGAATAAATACGCCCTCCCCTCACCTCTACTTAGTGAAGGGGTTGGGGTTGGGGAATTGGGGTGGGGGGTTGGGTTCGTAATGATGAGAAATGGAGTAACAAAGCATCAAATGTCCGATCAGTTTTGAGGGCCCAAGTGTAAATCAAAAAGAGAGGTTTGTTATGGTGTTTTAATCTAATGTCTTTTTCAAAATTAAATTGCTCTATTCAATTCAATTTTAACTTTTCTTTTTAAATCATGTTGACTTGGTCCAATTTTAGCACAGTTTTGAAAAAGATTTTGTTTTTCATAGAGTGTTTAGTTTAAACTCGATTAAAACAATTTAAAGAACATTATTTTTTAAACGTGGGTTGTAAGAATGCCTTGATTGCGATTTACGGTGGTGTTCCAGGGTACCCGAATATACGGGCAGAGTTCCAATCTACGGTGAAACTTAAATGCAATGACAGTGTTGCACCGTATGTGCTTATGTAATTCATAAGTTCCAAAATACGACATTCTAGACATCAATATTGTTTATTAAAAAGTCAATCATTTATTTCGATGCACATATGAACATATACGTGGAGTCAATGTCTTCAGCCCTTAAAATTCACACAATCTTTTGTAAAACCCTTTATTCTCTGAAATACTCACTATTAAATTTATAAATTGCCATTAATTAAGATCGAGAAAGAAAAACTTCTTATACATAAATGGTTCAGTACAGGTCAATGAAGAAATTGATGTCGGCGTTGTAATGTCTACATCAATATTTTTTATTAGAAAGTCAATAATTTATTTCGATACACATATGAACATATACGTGAAATCAATTCCTTAGATTCAGCCCTTGAAATTCACGCGCGCCACCTCCTGTCTCTTTGTGTGTGATTTTGACGAGTATGCATGAGAATGACTGTGATGATGATGATGATGATGATGATGATGATTCATATATTTGAATGTTGGTATTTATGTTTTGTCTTGTTGTCTTTACACCAAATTTTGAAAAAGTAAAAATAAATAAATAAAAATAAAACATATAAAAATGATATAAGAATTAAGCAACTCTCTCATGTATTGACATTTGCACGGAAATGTGTGGTTTACGATGCAATAAATGCCACTCAGCGCGGGATCAAATTAAGTCACTAGTTCAATTTGAAAGTCGATCGTCACTCGTTATTTGAAAGACCTTTTAAATTTAACTTTTCGGGCCAAATGGCGACGTTTCATCGTCGAAATGGATTATGTTTAATCAATTAATCATTTCAGTTTAAATGCAGTTTAATCTACATAAGACAGCAATGTGTATCATTTATAACGACTATAAATGCCATAAGATGATTAAGTGGGGAAAAAAATCTTTTAAGAGGATTTTATCGATTGGCTTCTTTAAGTACAAACTACGAAAACTCCAAGTTACTAAATATAGAAATAACGTCTATTGAGACATCAGAACATCATAGTTAAAATCTATGTTAGTATACAGTAAAAAGTCTATATGATGGCAAGCTTACTAATACATAGATTGAAGTGTTGCAAGAAATAATCACAAAAGCTGTACCACTTCTCTGATGTAATTTCTCCATTCTAGTTTGAGTCGTGTATCATGTGGATTCCCCTTCCCCCGAACTTGCCCTACCAAGTATATTTTAGTGATCAGCACCTGTTTATGAAGATGGCTACTGTTAACCCACGTGTTCATCTGTCTACGTGTCAATTATCTGTTATAATAAGTAAATTGTATTTAATACTACATATCCACAAAAACAAACGCCCACCAAGAAACATATTTTTGTAAAAATAACAAGATTTGAGCCCCTATGATGTATGATTTCATAGAGGTTGGTTTTAAATTCCGTAGGTCATAGTATTAAATGAAATAACGCTGTTTCCGTTCGTCGTAATATGTATTTGTTATGAAGAAAGAAGATGGAGAGGCGAGCTTATAGAGGTTTTGTTTGTATATTGTCGCTTTACGTCCTGTTAACAGCCAAGGTCACAAAAGGATATGCCAGGTTTGAGATGTAAAGGAAAGCCGAAGTTCCCGGAGAAAACCATCGATCTGTGACCAGTACCTGGCGACTGCCCACGTAGGTCTCGAACAAGTGAGCAAGAGGTGTGTGGATGCCTTAAGCTCAAAGACGGTCAGACGCCTTACCCGGCCACAACGACTGTCGAACGCCTTAACCACAACGACGGTCAGACGCCTTACCCAACCACAACGATGGACGAACGCCTTAACCAATCACAACGACGGCTAAACGCCTTTACCACAACGACGGTCAGACGCCTTACCCGATCATATCGATGGACGAACGCCTTAACCAATCACAACGACGGTTAAACGCCTTTACCACAACGACGGTCAGACGCCTTACCCGATCATATCGATGGACGAACGCCTTAACCAATCACAACGACGGTCAGACGCCTTTACCATAACGGCAGACGAACGCCTTAACCCCAACGTACGTCAGACGCCTTTACCACAACGACGGTCAGACGCCTTAACAACAACGACGGTCAGACGCCTTAACAACAACGACGTGGAACGCCTTAACAACAACGACGGTCAGACGCCTTAACAACAACGACGTCGAACGCCTTAACCAACCAAAACGACGGTTTAACGCCTTTACCACAACGACTGTCAGATGCCTTTACCACAACGACTGTCAGACGCCTTAACCTCAACGATTTTTCGAACACCTTGACCACAACGATTGTCAGATTCCCTAACCAACCACAACGACAGTCGAACGCCTTTACCACAACGACGGCCAGACGCCGAAATCATAACGACGCTCAGACGCCTTAACCACAACGACGGTCAGACGCCGAAATCATAACGACGCTCAGACGCCCTAACCAATCGCAAAAACGGTCGAACGCCTTAACCACTCTGGCCCCTGTTTGTTTTACTTTTTTATACAGTAATTTCTTTGCTGTTTTTAAATCATACTTTTTCATTACACCTTTCCAGGAGCTTAGTACAATGATTTTTTATACTCATTTTATAAATTTTGTATATATTTGATCTTCAATATCTCTATTACAGGTTTAATATATACATTGTTTTCGTATTTGCCATTAAACTTCCCACACCTACTTTTTACAATGAAACACAGACCACATTTTAGTGTATATACAGTCTGACACATCAGCATTCAAACAAACGACGAACGTCTTTGAACCTCCAAATATAAAGTAAAGGCGAAATTAAACCATTTAATCCTAACAAAATCACTACCAAAGCAAACATTTCTCTGTTAAAATTTCCTGTAAAAGCATTTTCCGAGAACAGCATCAGCATTGGACTAAACGATACAACATACGTCACAACAAAGACCGACACAGTCTTGAATATGTTTCTGAAAAGCTCAAGACTTGAATTCTGGACAGTTGCTTCACTTTGGTTCTGCTGATTGGACTTAAGATTACGCACGGAGGTCTGTAACTTTTTTACTTTATAAAGAAGATAAAGGTATTGAAATACCACACCTATATAAAGAGGAGCAAACAATGCATAGACTCCATTTACAACAGATGTACAGGAGCTTAGGAAATCCTCAACTGTTCTTTCCTTGAGTGAACAGTCTCGGGATGCCACTAACACACAAATATACACTACACAGAACACCCACGTCCCAACCACAATAAAAGTACGGTTTTTATCGGTTAATAAAGATGATGAGCGTGGAAAGTATAATATATGGAGTGTGCGTTCTAGACATATCAAGAATGCTTGGGCTAACGAAATAAGAAAAGCTGATAAGGATACTGTCGTTGTTATCAAACATCTCCATAATGGTATGTCATCCAAATTGCTTTGAAAATAATGATCAATGGTCGCAGATCCGAATAAAAGGTCACTAAAACTAAAGCAGAGAATGAAATAGACACACATATTTTTCCTTAACGTTGGCATCGTAATAGTCATCAAACAGATGATCAGATTCCCGACTGTAGACAGCAATGCTTGGATAAACAGGATTAACAGGAGGTACGGCTTCATTGGCAGATTCAAGGATTCATCAACGAGATTTTCGTTTTCAAAGTTGATCTAAAAAAATGCAAACAAAGATAAATAAATAAATAAATAAATAAATAAAGCACTTTTTTCGAGAAATACAATATCCACTTAACAATGGACATTTTTTCTTAATTCTTTGATGTGAAATACCCGGTAAAAAGATATCTATCTTTATCTAGTGGCAAGTGTCACGTGACATTTATACGACCAATGAGAGGAGAGTGCAAATTATACGATGTATCAAAAATAGAAAATAAGTTAACTTACTTGGTTGTGTTCAGGAAAAACAGATGTATTGTTCATGTCTAAGTTCTGTACAATATTTCAGGGTAGTAAATCTTCCTCCACTGTTTGTTAAAATCAACAAAATACTGTTATAAAATAATAACATTTTTTGGGGGGTTTCAACTTAAAATCTGTTGATAATATTGATACAACAGTTATGTCACTATTTCTGACAACTTCAATATCATCAAAATTTTACTAATGGTCAATGTTAAGCTGGATGGTTCATAGAAAAAAAAGTAATTGGAAATGGAAGGATTGGATAAAGTATTCCGATACAGACAGGATCAGGTTAGCTGTTCCCGATGCCAATGAAGACACCGAATAGAACATTCGATTCTTCACTGAAGTCAATATCAGTCCCCAGTATTAAGTTTCACATGGCATAAGACACAGATGGTTTATACTCGGTATATCCGATACTCCAAACTTGAAACACCGGAGAGATGATCACAATCCGGAAGGACGACCTCTATAGTCTATCCTTTAGACCTAAATCCAGAGTACATGGCCAGCGAGGGTGGAGAAAGACAAAAGTGGAACCAGAAAGACAAAAGTGGCTCGCCAGAATTTTAGAACAAAATTCTGTCAAATCAATGCACGTGCTGAAATACAGCAGATTTGTGTCGATGCCGAATGCAGCAAAAATATATGTGGCAGGTGTATTCCGACAATGACAGTGCCAGTAACAGGATAAAACATCTTAGTTTGCTACTGTGTCACTGGGGAATAAACTAGAATAAAACCCAAATATTGAATTATACTACCGTAATTATACTTCCGTAATTATACCAACGTAATTATACTACCATACCATAATTGTAATTATGCTACCGTAATTATACTACCATAATAATACCGTAATTATACTACAGTACTACCGTAATTATATTACCATAATTACACTACCGTTATTATACTACCATAATTATACTACCGTAATTATACTACCATAATTATACTACCGTAATTATACTACCATAATAATACTACCGTAATTATACTACCATAATTGTACTACCGTAATTTTACTACCATAATTATTCTACCGTAATTATACTACCATAATTATACTACCGTAATTAAACTACAGTACTACCGTATTTATATTACCATAATAATAATACCGTAATTATACTACCATGATAATACTACCATAATAATACTACCGTTATTATACTACCGTAATTATACTACCATAATTATACTACCGTAATTATACTACCGAACTTATACCACAGTGCTACCATAACTATACAATTATACTACCATAATAATACTACCGTTATTATACTACCGTTATTATACTACCGTAATTTTACTACCATAATTATACTACCGTAATTTTACTACCATAATTATACTACCGTAATTATACTACAGTACTACCGTAATTATACTACCATAATAATAATACCATAATTATACTACCGTAATTATACTACAGTACTACCGTAATTATATTACCATAATTACACTACCGTTATTATACTACCATAATTATACTACCGTAATTATACTACCATAATTATACTACCGTAATTATACTACCATAATAATACTACCGTAATTATACTACCATAATTGTACTACCGTAATTTTACTACCATAATTATACTACCGTAATTATACTACCATAATTATACTACCGTAATTAAACTACAGTACTACCGTATTTATATTACCATAATAATATTACCGTAATTATACTACCATGATAATACTACCATAATAATACTACCGTTATTATACTACCGTTATTATACTACCGTAATTATACTACCATAATATACTACCATAATTATACTACCGTCATTATACTACCGAACTTATACCACAGTGCTACCATAACTATACAATTATACTACCATAATTATACTACCGTTATTATACTACCGTTATTATACTACCGTAATTTTACTACCGTAATTATACTACCGTAAATATACTACCGTTATTATACTACCGTAATTATACTACCATAATAATACTTCCGTAATTATACTACCGTAATTATACTACCGTTATCATACTACCGTAATTATACTACCATAATAATACTTCCGTAATTATACTACCGTAATTATACTACCGTTATTATACTACCATAATATACTACCATAATTATACTACCGTAATTATACTACCGAACTTATACCACAGTGCTACCATAACTATACAATTATACTACCATAATTATACTACCGATATTATACTACCGTAATTTTACTACCAATATTATACTACCGTAATTATACTACCGAACTTATACCACAGTGCTACCATAACTATACAATTATACTACCGTAATTTTACTACCATAATTATACTACCCTAATTATACTACAGTACTACCGTTATTATACTACCATAATTATACTACCGTAATTATAGTACGTTGTGGCTTTGATACTCATGTATAAATCTTCTTTTCTCTTTGAAGCTGTGTGGGTGACTTTAACGTCCAAACACGTCTAAACGAGCATGATTGAGATCCACTTCGGAAATATGAGTATGCTAAATTTTCCGGTCTTCCTGTGTAAGCTCGGAAGCTCAGATAACAGATTATTATAAAAAAAGGATCAATACACAGACGCCACATTGGATAATGTCTCGAGGAGAACGATGATACATACATTACTGACCTTGGTCTTTTCCCAATATTTTCTTCGTTCACCCTGAAGTGTTTGAACGCACACCGTTTAATTGAAAATGATAATTATTTGTACTTTATTCATGTCTATTTCTACTTGCGTACGGAGGTAAAGAAATTAAGAGAAATACGACGGAACAGAAATGAATTGTAAATGTCAGGATTTTTGAAGATATTTCACTATGTTCGAGATGGAATATCAAATATCAAATATTAGCATTGCGCATTGAAATTTACCATTAGTGAAAAAAATAAAGTTATTCCGAAATCAAGTATCTTAACAATAATCCTATAGCTTAAGCTGGGAGTTTGGACCTACATTTGGTTGTCTTTATTGCATTGTAATCTGTTGTTAGAAGCGTGCAGTGTCTGAACAACATATGTTAATCGTTTTACATTGTTCTTCGGTATAAGTACTGGTTTTGAATAACACATCCATCCCCTAAAATATATGTTAAAAATTGAAAATTATATATGATCCACACACCAGCAATGAGCATGTCAAGAAAGAACATCTATTTTAAATAATCTTCATGCTTAAGGATAAGATCCCGCCGAAAAAAAATATGAAATTCCGGCGTTTATTATTAAAATCAGCTGACAAATGCTACTAATTTCAGTTTCAAGTTTATTTCCTTAAGTTATACAACTTATTGGTAACATATAATAACACACATAATACTGTATATAATACATAGTACTATATACACTAGTTAGACACAAACAGTCAGGTTGTATTTTCATTGCAACAATAATTTACATTAAAACCTGATGATGAGACGTATCGACAACCCAACTACATCTACATCATCATCATCATCATCATCATCATCATCATCATCATCATCATCATCATCCGACTACATCATCATCATCATCATCATCATCATCATCATCATCATCATCATCATCCGACTACATCTACATCATCATCATCATCATCATCATCATCATCATCATCATCATCATCATCATCATCATCTGACTACATCATCCGACTACATCATCATCATCATCATCATCATCATCATCATCATCATCATCATCATCATCATCATCATCATCATCATCATCATCCGACTACATCTACATCATTATATCATCATCATCATCATCATCATCATCATCATCATCATCATCATCATCATCATCATCATCATCATCATCCGACTACATCATCATCATCATCATCATCCGACTACATCATCATCATCATCATCATCCGACTACATCATCATCATCATCATCATCATCATCATCATCATCATCATCCGACTACATCTACATCATCATCATCATCATCATCATCATCATCATCAACATCAAAAAACATAAGAAAACAGAAATGTACACTGTAACTGCAATTAATAATCAAATACATCTACGTTTGTTCGCTTCAATAATGTATTTGCCCAGTAAATTCAAATCTTTCAAATTATGCGTGTTCAATGATTCTATAGCTTTGAAAACAGACGGCTTATACCAGTAATATTTTTTAATGTATTTTCTCCTAAGATCGGAATGTATGGGACAGGTAAAAGAAAATGGAATTGATCTTCTACTTCTAATTGGTCACAATTATTACAAAGTCTATTAGTCCTATCAGTATTTCTATATTTACCAGTTTCTATAGCTAGGTTATGAGCTGATAAACGAAGTTTAGAGATAACAATTCTGCGCTGTTTTGGTAAATATTTGGTTAAATAAAACTGAAGTGACAAATCGTCTACCATGAAGCGGTAGAGATCACATTTACTAGAATTAAATAGATTTTGTTTAGCCTGATCGTCTATGCGTTGCTTAATTGATGATAATAGGATGATATCGGAAGGAGATTTTTCTGCTTTACAAATAACAACCAAGTTTGCTTTGGGTTATCTTTTCCGTTTCTTTCAGCATAAGCTGATATACTTCATTCAAAATACAATTATCACAATTCAACAACTTAAACCAATATTTAAATATTCTGAATAAATGTTGATTAACAAGAGGTAATCGACATGTTGATTTTTTAACGCATAAATTACTTTTACAAAATTCCAAATGAATTTTTTCGACTTCGATAGCCTTGCAAACAGCCCATGTTTCACAAGCATAATGTAGTACACTACCAACGTACGTGTCGAATAGATGCAACATAGTTTTAATGTTCAGGTTAAAATTATTGCACTTAGAGCGCAAATCAAAAAGTGCTTTACGACCTTGGTTAGCTAAATGTTTTACCATACTACCAGTTTCAAACCCTAAAATTTCCAATTGCTATATAGGAATATATTAGATAACGAGAGATGTATGACAGTCCCTGCTTTTCTATCCGTTTCTTAGTGTATAGAGAGACATGGATACAGCCACTATTTTATCGTTT